ATCTAAATATAATTCAAGGCTATTTCCAGAAAACTAAAATAAAGGAACTCCCTTAAATTTTTTTTCAACAAACACCATGGTTTTTGACACACTGTTGGGCTGAAAGAAGACAATCGTTCACACAAAATCTGGGATAATATACTGCCCCCCTCTCCTTGAGTCCTCAGCTTGGTTTTGAAACTGGAAAGAGACAAGATGACAGGAGATCAGAGCCTCATGTTGCCCTTCCTGTACCACAAGTGTCAGGCAGCAGGGTCCAGGCCACAAAGCAGGAGGACACTGTCATTTCCTGGTCTAGTCCTTCCTCTCCTAAAGCAACATGGAAGTATGATGAAGAAACACTGCAGCCTTAGGAGCTTACTGAGGCAGAAGTCTCCAGTGAGTGAACTAGGAGGGCCAGAAAGCAAGATCCAGAAGAATCCACACAAATGAAGTGGGGTGGATGCTGAAAGGAACAGTCCACAGCCTCACCTACATTTAACACTGAAATCTGAACCTATCATGTGGCATCTCTGGATCTTGGGCCCTCCTATGCAAGGTAGGGACAGGGTCTCCTGACTACAAAATGCACACCCCCTGTGTCAATGAAAGATTCAGAGTGGAACTTTTAGAAGATCCCTTGTTCTTTCCTCCTTTCCTTTCCCTCCCTCTTCTCCACTGAGTGAAGAGCAGGAGGCTCTACAGGCCCTTTATGTGTTCTATGACCTGTCACTCTGGGAACCGTCAATGCCTGTGTCCTGCACCCCAAGAGAGACTACTGTGGGCCCAAGACATCAGTGCTGTGGCTGAAAGGCTGGGGCTGGGTTAATGAAGTATGGATTGACTAGACTGCAAGCTGATTAGCTCTGGCATTGGGCTTTTCCTGAGCAGTGCCTGCAGAATCAATACTAATCCCTTGATCCCATTAGGGGCTCCTGTAGATCTCTGGGACAAAGTCTGTGCCTCCATTCCTGTGGAGATGCCCTGTCTAGGGGAAGAGAGATGCTGGGATTGAGGCTGACATCTCATCATCTTTACCTTCTTTACTGCCCCCTCATCCTTCTGTTTCTACCCCCACTCTCAAGAAAAGTCAAAAATCTCCCCAGTCACCAGGGTCCCCAGCTCCAGCCTTTCCAGAGAAGCAGACTGTCATACCATAGAAAGAGATTTTTGTCACTTGTGTCAGCTGCCACACTCCCCAGTAATCCATATCCTTCTGAGTATAGATGAAAAGTGTTTTATTGGTGTGTGTTTGTTTTATGATGCTGGGGATTAAACCTAGGAACTCACACATACTAGGCAAGAACTATCTCTCTGAAAATAACTGTCGGGAAGACACATCTTCATGGATTTTCTAATTGGAAAGCTAACTATGCTATAGAATTACTTGGCATAAAGCCTTGATGCACAATTAATATTTTTCAAGCAGAGATCAATGAACCCATCTTCAGGTACCAGGGCCATTGTCCAAATACCTATGAGCTCAGAAGAAAACCATTCTGTCTCTGTAGAATTGGCCAGCCTTGAGTCTACCTCACACACCACCCTGGCCCTCCTGGGCCAGCAGCTATTGCTCCTCCAGCCTTGGGTGATAAGAGCTCTTCATTTTGAAACCCTGTCACGCCTCGTTTATCTGCAGCCCACAGCCCTTTGAAGCCTACAGAAAAAATCCTGTGAATAGCTCTCCCCAACTATCTCCAAGGGTTTGTGGGCTTTCAGTGTGACATAGTTCCATGGGGAGCTGTAACAGCAACCCTCTGAAACTGACTCTGGACTGGATGCACACCTGGACCTCTCTTACCTTATGTAGGACATGTCTTTATTATCACAGAGCCTAGTCATCCTAGCATCAGGTTGTTAAAATAGCATAGCTGCAAACTCATTAGAATCATTCCAGTCAAGTCCCATGCTTTAAGGCCAAGAGCAGAGGTCAGGGTGGTGAGCAGTTCTGATACCCAGAACATGGCCTGCCATTGTCCTAGCTCTTGCTCCCCATTCAGTGGAAATTCCTCACTGAGATTTACCCATGGAGCCCACAATATAGCCTTTGTCCTTTTTCATGGAATGTTTAGAGAACACCAGGGGAGCAGAAGCTCCTTATGTCAGAACTTGCTGGGCAGAGAGGCCAGCATCGCTGTGGTCCATCAGGAGCATGGGTGTGAGCAATGGCATGAGAAATCATGAACACAGCAGATCCTCAGCTCCCACACTTCTCTACACAGACTATAAGGCCCCATTCAGCTACCTGTTTCTCAAAGACCATTCTCTCCACCTTGACTTCTGCCCTCTCCCAGCTTTCTGTTGGTTCTTCTGCCTGCCCCAGCCAAGGCTCTGAAAGCCATTCTGAGGTACATGCTGATGCCACAGGCAATCACCACATTCCTCCTAACCTATGTGGAAACCATAGCCTGTGTCAGAAGCCACCTTGATCTCAGACTCCAGTGTAGGGACAGCCCCAATCCCTGGCCTCCTGCCTACACCCAGGCATTATTGCCAGTAGACCCATCTCCTGCTGGCCAGATGGTGTTCTCCAAGTCTGGGGGCACTCTCTGTTCTACTTAATAACTGTCTGGTAATTAGCTCCACAATTTTGCCACTATGCTTATAATAGTCTCCATTAAAGTTATGGGGTTTTCAAGCTGTAATGGCTTCCAGAGTAATTAATGCACAACCGGCTTTATTGCTAAGTTTATTTTTAGAGCTTGTCTATCTCCCCTCCCTTTTCTTTCATAGATTTTGTTGACCAAAAAAAAAAAATTGTGGGGGAATCAGACACTACTAATGCCCCCTACAGTGTGACCATATCCTTCTCATTGTCCCTTCCTGTATCCTGATCCTTCTGTCTGTTATGGCATCCTGCAGATGTTGTAACTCACAGTTCAGGGAGCTACGGTGGAGGAAGTGTTTAAGCCAGTGGTTATCCAGGCAATAGCTTAGAGCCACGTGACCTCGACATAATTCCAGCTCCATCATTTTGTCTCTGACCAGGGCATATTGCTTACCCATCTTGTTTCGGTGAATCCAGCTGCAAATAGAGACACATGGGTACCTGCCTCTTGGGGTAGCTATGAGTGCAGCACAGAGTAGATGTGTAAACACTGTTAATTAACTGTCTTTGTCATTGGACCCCTTGAATGCTGTAGGAAAACTGGTTATCATGAGCAGGCCCAGGCAGATACAAGGGAGGCTGCGTGAGCCATAGGTCTAAGCGGCTGCCCAGAAGAAGAGGTGTGAATACAGGAAAGCAAGTGGCCACACCGGCCGAGGCCGTGCGGAGTTCACCTTCTTTCTTGTGTTTTTCCCAACTTTCACCTGCATCAGGTTCATTTGAGAACCATTCATTTCTGAAGCCCTGACCCTGTGTTGGCCTGGTGTCTGTTCCATAATAGAATACCTGAGAGCTTAAAAGGAAAGGAGTTTGCTCCATGGCTCTGGAGGGTGAGTGAAAGAGTCTTGTGAGGACCATGTGCTGCTTCTGCTCACAGAGGACGGCAGAAGGGTGAGGGGACAGCTATAGAAGAAAGGGGCATGAGGGGCACCTCTGCTTCACAACAACTTGTTCTCCAAGGAGTGTGAAAGGCATTAATCCCTCTTAATTCCATAATCAGCTCTTATAGGCCTCACCTCCCAACACTGCCACATCTCAACCTGTGTTTCAGAGGGGAGACACTGCATCCACAGGGAGCTGCAGGAAATGCTGCATATAACAACATTTGCTCCTTCCTGGGGGCCCCACCATTGGCTTATAATGTGCCATTTAACCCTCTGGTCTCATTCCCTAAGCAATGGGGTGGTGGGTAGCTAACACTAATTCCGGAAGCTGTGAGCCTTTCATGAGAAGGACTGGGCATGGATGCTGGCTCACTCAGGCAGTGCTCTTTAGTGGACAGCAAAACCTGGTCTCCCAGAAGACACTAGGATAAGTGGAGAGAAGATGTGAGGAGGAAAGATGCACACTATTTTCAAAACGGAGTCACAAAAACTTCTGGTTGGCCATAACTTGCAACCTTGGCAGAGACCGAAAGCACATGTGGCCTGGGTGAAGCAGACATTATAGCCTCTAGGTGACTATCAGGGTGACTGTCTACCATGTAGTAATGGACTCTGGCATGGTGGGCCAGCCAGAATGCTAAGTGCTATACCAGCTATGGCCCCAGCACAGAAGGGAGGGGGAGAGAGAGAAAGGTTGTCATCATTCTGAAGGGAGCTAAGAGTTGGCTACACTTGTTCTTCTGTCACAAAGGAGAGCAAGTACCCACGGAAGTGTCTACCGGCAGATCCTCTGCAGAACCTGGAGTGGATTCCACCAGGTTGTTCTACAAGGGGCTTTCTTGGGGCTCTCCCTACCGCTGTTTTTTGAGAAGTGTCTCCCTACTACCTGGCAGCTCCTCAAAGAACAGCCCCCTCTCCCTGCTGATAGCCACCTCTGATCTGAGCCTCACCCTGTGAGGAGAAGGTGCCCTACAAGAATCCCCTACAGACATAAACAGAGGAGGGCACTTAGGGCATTTCCTCACGATGCCCAATCTTAACCACCTCTGTTTACCTGTGAAGGAGGCCTAACTATGACCCTGGGCCAAAGCTATAAAGAAACCACCTATGCTAATACGAACATCATAGCAGCCAGAGTTCCTGGCACATTTCTATCAGGAACCACCCTGAGTGGTCTCTGAGAATTAATTCATTTAATCCTAAGGACAGCTATGGCAAGCAGGTGACTGATCAATAATTGAAAGACTAGTGCAAACTAGTTGATGGAACTGTTCAAAGGCCACAGCTTCTGTGTGCTCCAGTTAGGATTAAACCAAGGCGGGCATCTCTGAAGTCTCTGTCCTTAGACACTGCATCCTACTGTTCTTGTATGTCAAGGGCTCATTCAGCCAGAAAGCTATACAGAAAAGACCCTGGAGAGGTGGATTCTCTGCTGAGAAACTCTTGATGATGTGGCTCTGGAGTAGGCCAGCCAGTCTCTGTGGTCCATGTCCACATCTCTGGCCATTTACCATTGCTCTCTCTTACAGGTATCCACCTCGGAAGGTTCCTGAACCTGCCCTGGACTACTGCCCCTTCGCAGATTCCCATCAGGCTGGACTCTGCAAACTTGCTTCCGCAATGGGTGGGTGTGAGCACTGGTGAGAGTTACTGGCCAGTGTTCGGCTTCTGCCTCCCTGTGCCTGGCCGGCCCATGCCTATTCTTTTCTCCCTTGTGCTGCCGTTGCTCCGTGGCCACTCTCTCCTGACCTTGCCATCGCTCAGGTAATGAGGAGCTGTGGGTGCAGCCAGCCTTGGAGATGCCGAAGAGACGGGACATCCTTGCGATTGTCCTCATCGTGCTTCCCTGGACACTGCTCATCACCGTCTGGCACCAGAGCAGCCTCGCACCTCTGCTTGCTGTGCACAAGGGTGAGCCCAATCCCACTCCCCCCTGGCCTGGCTTTGGTAATAAAAGCTACCCTGCTGCTGTTCTTGCCTGGGCCCTGCCCTTACCTTGGGGGAATTTTGGCCTTCTAAGACTCCACTGAAAGCCTCCTCCTCCCCCTCCTTCTTGCCTTCCTCCCGGCCCCTCTCATCTCCCGAAACACATTGTTTTAAGTACCTGGGATTTGTTATAATCAAGTATGACACAATTCAGACAGACAACAAGTCAAGGGACTTGAAAATCAACTTGCTGCTCTCAGTTCCCAAGATGAGTGGGTATCCCGTGATACATAAGGCAACATGGGGGAATACTGAGCCCCTGGCTCGGGAAGCAGAGGGGGTGAACCAAACTAGGATAGACCCTACACTGTGATTATTTCAGATTAGAGAAAGGCCATATGAGCAGCTAAGCAGGCTTAGAAGTGGATGGTTCAGTCAGATGTTCCTTTTATGAGACAGGGTATTACTATAAAGCCCTGACTGGCCTATTCCTCACTATGTAGCCTCAACCCCTCAAGTTTTGAGACTACCAGTATACATCTTCATGCCAGGCTCAAAAGTGGGTAGAATGGATGATTGATTTCTGTGGGCTTCTGAAGATTAGGGTGGGTTCATTTGCCCTGGATTTGGTCTTGGGTGATTTAGGTCAGAGGAAGATTGGTTTGTAGGTTGTTTGATGAAGATGCAGGAATGTAGTCAGTTGTTTACTGTTTCTTAGGTACCACTAAGAAGGTCAGTCCCTTCTAAAGACTACACATCTCTGAACTGTCAAAGCAGTACCAAATTTAAATAATTAAAGCAAACAGGATTAATGTGCATACAAACATGTATAGCCACTTCAGTAGTACCCAAGGAGAGGCCACTCAGCAGGGGTGCCAGGAAGCAGAGTCCTGGCCTATAGTGTTTGGGTTTTGTTTTGTTTTTTAATTTTGAATTGTTGAGGGACAACCCTAGGCTTGCTCTATAGGTAAGTGCTGTACCTACAGAGCTACATCCTGCTTGTATTGTGCTGCAAAACCTTTCAAGGGCAGCATGTCACTTGCCCCTTTTGTCTTGCTTAAGAGACTAACTGGGCAAAGGCCTGAAGAGACAAGAGTCTTCCTAAGAGCAAGGGGAAGAACTAGGATTAGAACAGTGTCCTTTGGGCTATGAGTCCTGAGTCATCTTTTTTTATTCCCACCGAATCTCCACCCTCAGACTTTTCTTGCCCCCCAACATCTGGCTACCTCTCATTCAGCCTTACTAAAGCTACCTTCTGCCCCACCTAGCTGTGACAATCTCAGGCAGGCAGTTCTCTCATTGCAATGGGCACCATACTTCCTGGGAGCAAAGAAGAAGGTGCCCAAGCCATCCTCATAACAGGTGGCTTTTTTGTGGTAGGGCCTGGGGAGCAGCTGTAGTCAGAGACCTCCACTGATAAGGCTACAATGGTATTCAGATCACAGCCCATGCTGCCCTCTCCACCATGGAAGGCAGTCAGTCCTTCAACCTCCTTTCCATCCTTCAGCCACACTGCCCTTGCTGGGCACTCTGGTTCTCTGCATGACGTCATCCCCTGCTCATGACCCAGGTGCCTCTCTGTGGAGCGTGTCAGTTTAGACTCATTGTTATCCTTTGACATCATTCCAGAGGGATTAAAACTGCCATACATAAAATGACATAATGTCTGTCGCCTCTTGGCAGAGTGAGGGTCAGAGGCATCACACCAAGAGCCTTTTAGGATTCAGAGTTGCAAAAGCCCTGAAGCCAGGGGGAAGAGTGGAGTGCAGGCTACAGCCACACCCTAACACATGGAGAACTTCCCCCAGGACACAGACTTCTATCTGTTTAATATGATCTGGATAGCAGAGGGCTGGACAAAATGGCTCCAAGTCTTCACCCTCAACCCCAGTTTCCAAAATATTATTGTCTACTAGGTAAATGAATTCTAACATTCTGCTTAGAATATCCTGGATGTGTTTATCCCTTTTTCCTTAGCATTGTTTATTTTCAATTGAACCTCAAAGTTACCTTTGACAAGCTACATCTCTGCCAGTCTTCCTGTTCCCCCACACTTAGCATTCGATTTATGGCCTGGGTAACAGACTCCAAGTCCCTTGAGACACTAGCTTGTAAGCAACCCACAGGAGACAAAAGTGGATCACTTAGGTTTATCTGCACTGGACTCCACACTTTGCAAAACCTTGTTGTTAATGGTGATGGCAGGACAGTAGGAAAGAACAGGGGAGCCATGGCCCAGGACCCTCTGTGTCCACATTCCAGTCAGCCCTTTCTTGTTGCTTGCTCATATCATCCTCACATAAACACATGGAGCCACAAGGAAGTGAGCTAGCTAGTGTCCTACACAGGAGTTGACAGTTAACTGCGCCTAGTAGTGGTCCAAGCCCTCAGTGTGTTGTTATCTATACAATAACTTCATCAAACAGATGCTATTATCATTAGCTAATATTATTAGCTCTATTTTATGGTCACTGAAACCAAGGCACCAGAATCTAATAAACGTATTTCAGACTATGCAGTTAGTCACAGCAGACAGTAAGCTCTAAGCTAAGTTTCCAAGTCTGGCCATCATCATCCCCACTGTGATACATATGAGCAGTGAGCATTACACAGTGACCTTGCTGAGTATAAACATGCATGCAGGTGCATTAAGGCAGGAGCACACATGCGTACATACACATATGCACATCATGTACACATATGTACATATATATCTGCATATGCACACTTGGAAAATCTTAAGACGTGTCTGTTTTCTGTAGCTCTAGATTTCTTGCTTCCAAAGGGTATTTTGAATGTGTCATATATACATGTAGTAGCATTACACTACATGCATTTTTCAAACCCAAAAGTGTAACTTGGAGATCAGGGAGTTAGTGAATGCCAAAAGCTCTGCTTGCTCCTCCTAGTAGGCCTGCCAGCTTCTCCAATCAGGAAAATGTTCCAGATATAAGAAAACCTTGGTCCTCAGAGCTGCCCCAACTTGAAACAGGTTACTTTCAAAAATTAAGAAGGTAATGGCTCCCTCTAACCATGTCTGTGAGCATGTGGCCAGAGGACAGGCTTTTGCAGGCATCATTGTCCCTGGTGACATCCTTGGGGTTTATATGCAAAACACTTACTGAATGCTAGGACAGAGCATAGGTCCAGAAAGTACTAATTAGGCTGGATAAAGTGGCACATGACTTTAATCCTAGAACTCAGGAGGAAGAGGCAGATAGATCTGCAAGTTCAAGGCCACTCTGGTCTACAAAGTGAGTTCCAAGACAGTCAGAGAAAAGTTATCTCAAAGGAGAGAGAGAGGGGGGGGGGAGAAGAAAATAAGGGAAAATAAGGTAGTAATTGGAAGATTGACATCAGACTAATTGGGAAACCTAAAAAAGTGTCTAAACAAAACGGAAAAATGTCTAAACTCAAATGACATTTGGGATTCAAAACTGTATTGATAACTATGAGTAAAAACCCACTGGAGCCAAATGCAGTAGCTAAATGCTGTGCTGTGTACCAAAATCCAAAGAGCAGCTTGCATTCCACAGAAGAGCAGGGCCTGGCCTGACTCAAGGATTTGTGGGAAAACTTGAGTTCTTTTGACATCCAGATTGTGCTGTAGTCACCCACTTCCACCACTTCCTGGCTTTATGAAATCCACACCACAGAACGTGGCTGTTCCTTCCTGCTATGTGGTCAATTTTACCACGCGAGGAAGACACTTTGGAGGTGAGAGTTAGGGCACTGTCATTTAAAACCTGATGCATTGAGGAACTGGAGATAGATGACTGGAAGGTGGCCAGCTGCATCCAAAAAGCTACAGTTATGTTAAACACAATGGGGGTGGGGAGGGGTTCATTTGTGTGTCATCCCAGGAATCCAAACTAGGAAATTTTCATGAGACTTCCAGGACCATAGGTTGGAACCTCAGGTCTAAAGATGAAAGCAGTTCTTCAGAGGGGCAGAGGACAGGATTGTCTTGGAAGGGTGGGTGATATTGAAAGCCCTGTATCAGAGCCAGGCCAGCGCCCTCGTCCCCCCACCCCCTCCCCGCACCACCTTCTCCCACCTCTACAGATGAGGGCAGTGACCCCCGGCGTGAGGCACCACCCGGTGCGGACCCTAGGGAGTATTGCATGTCCGACCGAGACATCGTGGAGGTGGTGCGTACAGAGTATGTGTACACAAGGCCGCCACCGTGGTCCGACACGCTGCCCACCATCCACGTGGTGACGCCCACCTACAGTAGACCAGTGCAAAAGGCAGAGCTGACACGAATGGCCAATACACTACTGCATGTGCCCAACTTGCACTGGCTGGTGGTGGAGGACGCTCCACGCAGGACACCCCTGACAGCGCGCCTGCTGCGTGACACTGGCCTCAACTACACACACCTGCACGTGGAGACACCCCGCAACTACAAGCTGCGAGGTGATGCCCGAGACCCTCGCATCCCACGTGGCACCATGCAGCGCAACCTGGCCCTGCGCTGGCTGCGGGAAACCTTCCCACGGAACTCCACTCAGCCAGGCGTAGTGTACTTCGCAGATGATGACAACACCTACAGTCTGGAGCTCTTTGAAGAGGTGAGTTAGGACCCAAAGGAGGGAGATAGCAGGTGGGGCTCAAGGAGACTGAAGGATGTGGGGCCCAGACCGAGAAAGGAGCAGAGGGTAGTCCCCATGAGGGGACACTATGACATGCATAGACATATGCAGGAAGCCTTGCACTGGGCTCATTTTACACTGCAAAGAACCAGGAAACGAAATGGGGAAAACTTCAGTACAGGTTCAATGAATCCAGCCCATTAAAAGGAAAACTGTTGAGGCTTGTAGCTCCCAAATTCTAGTCCTGGCCTTAGAGGTTTGTTGTCTGAAAGAGACCTTTTTATGGGATCATTTAACATGGTCACCAGAAACCTCTTGGGTGGACAGTTAGAGTATGCCAGTTAAGTTTTAAGGAGAGAGGCTCATTTCAAATTTTAAAATGATAAGATTTGGAAATTTTGTCATCAGGCCATTGAGACATTGACCAACATCTTAGCTGAAAGATGTCTTGAATGCCTAGGTAAGATTCCTCTAGACATCAATGGAAGGAGATCTGGAGAGCAGATGGGGAGGAGCCTATACACATCATATACTTATTAAGTGATCTACCTCCTATGGAAATGGGTACGATTTTCATCCTAGATCCATAGCCTGACTCATGTTCTTGCCTTGTAGATGCGCAGCACAAGGAGGGTGTCCGTGTGGCCTGTGGCCTTCGTTGGTGGCCTTCGGTATGAGGCTCCAAGGGTGAATGGGGCAGGGAAGGTAGTTGGCTGGAAGACAGTGTTTGATCCCCACCGGCCATTTGCAATAGACATGGCTGGATTTGCCGTCAACCTGAGGCTCATCTTGCAGCGAAGCCAGGCCTATTTCAAGCTCCGTGGTGTGAAGGGAGGCTACCAGGAAAGCAGCCTCCTTCGAGAACTTGTCACCCTCAATGACCTGGAGCCCAAGGCAGCAAACTGTACCAAGGTAAATAAGACCCTCTTCTGAACTGATGGCTAGTAATGCAAGCTCTCCCATGCACTTCCAGACCTTCTATAAATCCAGGGAGAAAAGGCCTCAAAATAGCTTTGTCTATAGTCCCCACCCAGAAGGATCTTATTGTAAGGTGGGGGGGGCACTGAGCAATTTCAAGGATTACTGACTTCATATGTACATCTGTGTTCCATGACCTCTGCTGAGAATACGCAGGCAGGTGCATATATGCACATATGCAGATAGACATGTATTCAGATGCCTACATGTGTGTGCATGCACATATACACATATGCATACACTCATGCACACTTGAGAAATCTTGAGATGTGTCTATTTTCTGTAGCTCTACATTTCTTGCTTCCAAAGGATATTTTGAATGTATCATATATACAAAGTGTAAGAATGAGGGTGTAGATAGAAATAAAGAGTTGAAAAGTCTTGATGGGGCAATGATAGAAAGGGAGGGGGCAGAAGAAATACTTGCAGGGTGTGGGAGGCAGGAGATGGCAGAATGAGCTGGGGACCTGCACCACTGCTTTTGTGTCTCTGGACCTGCAGATCCTGGTCTGGCATACGCGGACAGAAAAGCCAGTACTGGTCAATGAGGGGAAGAAGGGCTTCACTGACCCCTCGGTGGAGATCTGAGGCTGGGGATGCAGGTAGGAGAGAAAGCCAGCATGGCCTCTGCACTGCACAAGCAGCACCGGTTTGGGGTATATCTTCCATATCTGAGGGCTTTTGGTCCTTAATTATGGGAGGACAAGACCAATGTGGGTAGAAGCCTGACCAAAGTCTTCCACCTATTGTGGCCCCAACAACTAACTGGCAGCTTTCCAGAATACAGCTGGGTCCTTCTGCAAGCATCACCTTCCTTCCCTGTTATTAGTATGCTGGCCATGATGTGTGGCCCACAGTGGGGGGCATTTTCATGTGGTTCCACAGATTACTTCAGATACAAAGCTGTGATGAGAGTACACGACACCAGATCAGTGGCCCCATGGCTTTCAGTAGCAGGTGAAGAAGCCCACTGAGCAGGAACCCTGAGCCCACACCACTGCCAGGCTATCCCTTTTCCTCTTTCAGCCTGGTATTAAGTCTCTGTTCCCGGTTTTTGTTTTGTTTATGTTTTTATCTGAAATGGGCTGCCAGGGCACTGAAATCAATCTATAACAAACATATAATAGTTCTTTGTTGTTATTTTTTTTAATCCCATTGGGGTAGGCCACCATATTTACCTACACTTTAGAGGTGACAGTAATGTTCAGGAAAGAAGCTAAATGACTTGCCTAAAATGACACATTAGCCCAAGAGATGCATGCTAAGTGACTGACCAGGCCAAGTATTTGGGGGCTTTTTCTGCTCTTGCCTTTCAGAAGCTCCACTTTCACAGTTTGCTACTGTAGGTCCTACCACAGATCTGGGAGCTTCATTTTTGTCAGGACATCAGCAGGCACCATGTCTTTGGGATTATGGGGAATCATCCCTGAACTTAAAGTCCTTGTCCAGTGCCTCTTAGAAGGTGTCACCTCACCCGGTCACTAAAATAATCTCAACCACTTGCTTTTCAAACATTGTCTCCTAGGGGAACCCAAAAGTCCACTAGGGGCTCAGGACTGAACATTCTGTCTCTACTTTCAGTCCCAACTCCACACCTGTGCTGACACCTGTGTTGTTCCTAATTCCTCACACAGGAATCTCCTTCTCAGACCCTGATCTTGGCCTTCCATCCTCTCCCATGGCTGATAGTCACTCTGAGGCAGACTCCTGAGGAACAGCATCATCTCTTGTCTATTCTGAGAGCTTCCAAGAAAGCCCAGCTTGATGCCAGGATAAAAGACAGAGAATTTAAGCACAGAATCCCAGACCCGTTATTCTCTCCATCAACATGGCCAGGGGCTTGAAAGACCGGAGGGCTGGGGATTCCAGCTGCCAGCCAAGCCCGGGCTCAGCACACCTCCTTAGAAGCTTCCTGCGTTGATGGGGCTGTGTAAGCAGGTGATCCTATCTTGAAGTGATGCTAGAGCTGAGGAAGGTCAGAAAACCCCACTGTCCAGTGCAGCATGGCTCTCTGCTCTTGGGCCCAGCATGACTATACAGCATGTGCCCAGCCAGGACATTGTGAAGACCAGAGAGCAGCCCGGGGCATGGAGGGGCCCCAACACTTCTCTTTCACACCTGCTCTTCCTCAGAGCTGCTCCCAAATCAGAAATACCTCTGGCTCTCCTCTGGTTCTTGTTTACAGGGCATAAGGCTGTCTTGGATCCCACCTGGCACCCAGCCCTGCATCGGGGAGCCTGGGCCTACCTACAGCTCCCCCTGTACCTCAGGCTGTGGGGGAACAAAGCCCCTTCCTGTGTCCCTCAAGCCTCCTATGCCAGAACTGGCAAGGTGGTTGCCCTAGAGCCAGCACAGATTGACCTGGATTAAGAACCGTGTCACCCAATGTCCACACTGCCTCTCTAATACCCCTGGGCTGCAATGCCCCTTGCCTGGCTTGGACCGGGGAGGCAAAATGCCTTCTTCCCAGATCTCAGACCTCAGGGCTGGAGTTAACAGTAATAAATAGGCAGAGCTCTTCCCAAGAAAGTGTAAGACTCAGCAGCCACAGCCCTTTCCTGCACTGATTCCAGTGAGGGGTGCTTTAGCAGGGGTCTCAAGGACAAGGGCAGGGAGGGAGTTTGAACACTGAGAGAGGGAGACATGAGCACATGCTGCTTTGGAAATCACTCTGTCTTACACAAAATGGGAAAGCTTGCAAAGCCAGCCTGCCTTGTGCGCACTGCCCCTTTTCCACTCCAGAGAACACTGGCTGTTGTCCCGACCCACCCAAGAGAAGCATCTGCCTGGGTGTCCAGCATCTGTGAGGCCCCTGGCTCCGGCTGGCTGGGGCCCCCTGGTGGTAATCTCACTCCAGCTCATACAAGTTGGAAGCACAATTTTCCTCCCACGTGGGGAAAAGGAAAGGGCACAAGCCCACTGAAGAGGTGTTTATTTTTTAACCGCTAACAGCTTTCCCCTCTCCATTAAAGCTCATAGGACAGGCCCAAGAGTCATGCAGAACCACTCTTGGGTGGATGGGACTCAGTCCACACATCTAACATTCAGAGAATAGCATCGGCTGCCTATTTTGACATGGATTTAACTTCCCACAGCCTTCAGGAAACCATCTGGTGGGCTCAGATTCCACAGCCACCTTGCAGGATATCCTCCTCCCTTGACCATTTATACTTTGGATGTTACTTTGGAAATTTACCCCTTGGCATCAAGTGGGTGGCAAGGGAGAGGGAGGAAATGGGCACAGGGCATCTCTCTGCTGAGTGAATTTATATCTGGGCACTCTACTGCTCATTCATAGAAACCGAGAGTGAATGCCAAGGTCAAACCAGCTGCTGAGGCTACCTTCTTAGCCAAATCCCAGCGCTCCTCTTTAGGAAACTGAAAATGAAAAACAAAATGGGGATCTTTTTATGATTATTATTTTCTGAAAGATGCTAGCTCAGTTGTTTTTACCTAATATCCTCTCTTAGCTGCATGTGTCTTTATTTATAATTACAACCCTGGTGGACTGCAGCCTTCATCTGTGTTGAGAATGAGTTTGTTAAAAATCAGAACTGGGTCCATGTTGACAACTTGTTCTCCAAATCCAGGCTGTCCCCCTCTCTCGCTGGGAAGCCCCACCACAGAGGAGTCAAGCCAGGGCTGTAGGGGCTCCACAGGCAGAGGCTGGTGTGAGGGTGGAGCCCAAGTGGCTGCACCATCTGGTCTGTTTTAATTTAACTCTATTTAATTTGTTTTCAAAATTAAAAGTCAAATATGGTTTTTAACAGTTGTAATTCTCTTCAGCCTTGCCTTATTTTAGTCTCGTTTATTAATTTAACCATCCAACAAATCTTTGCCAGATGCCTGTTCTGAACAGGTATTCTTCTAGGAGCCAGCACACAGCAGTCTTTATGGGGCTTGCCCACCAAATGCAGGTCACAGACAATGGCACTTGTGCAGAATTTCAGGTGTGAGGTGCTGTAAGAAGAATGGAGTGCTGGGGAAGATGGAGGGTAGCAGTGGGAGGGGCTGCAGTTCCAGAAAACATGGGGAGAAAGGCCTCCCTGATCTGGGAACCTTGAGCAGAAGAGCAACATGCCAACATGCAGCTGAGGCAGACGATGCTGACAGGTGTGGCTGCAACGGACTGGGCCAGTGACGGGTGTGGGGTGGAGAGTCAGGAAGAAAGCCTAGAATCAATTGGCCTCTGAAAGCAAGTAAGGTGTTTGGTTTCTACTCTAACTGAAATTTGCAGCCACTGATGGAACTAACTTTCAAGAGCCACTTTGCTTCCTGTGCTGAGGACAAATGGGCCAAGGTAGGGGACTGCAGAGGCAGCCCCTAAAATGATGGCAGATGGGATGAGGGCACAAGGTCCAGAGAAGACCTAAGTGGCTACATCCCAAGCATGCTTAAGAATGGGTTGGCTGTGGAATGGAGAGAGAGGAGCCAAAATTATCTGGGACACTGAACAGAATTTCCATGTGTTGATACAGGACAGAGTGCAGGGGATGCCACATGAGGGAAAGCAGAGTTCTACTTCTGACATTGTCAGGCACGTGCAACAGATGGTGAGGGTCAGCAGTTTATATACCTGCTGTGAGTTTGGAAACAGACATTGGAACATGTTGGTGTCAAGATCCCACAGGTGTAAGTCCACACAGTGAGTAGTCAAAAGAAAGAATAGGTATGCAGAGTCTCAGGACATTTGAATGTTGGCGGGACTAAGATGGAGGTACATGGTACACAGGATCTGGATAAACTAGTCAACTCTGGAGAGCTAAGGTCAGCTGACACATGCTGGGGAAGCAGAAAAAACTGTTGCTGCAGAAAGACCTCATCTTGACCAGTCCAATAAATACATAGCCTGATCATGTATGCACAAAGCTTTAACTCAGAATTCTTCGCTACCTTTCAGAACGATGCTATGTAAGATTCCTTTATATCCTGATTGCCTGTCACACTTCCTAGGACAGCCCTGCTTAATACAGCTTTGTAGAAATCGGCTCTTATGTAATGCAAGACAAAGTGGCAATATGACACTGCTCTCTACTCTGGCTCTACTCATTTGCATCTTAGCTGAATGCTTCATATTCCAAGGCATCTCAGAAAGAACTGGCAAGAGTGGGTAAAATTTGGGGCTCTGTCTGTCTAGCTCTTCAGGCATCCTCTGCAACCAGCACTTTACAAAGCTCCCTTTGAGGGCCATCAAGATGGTTCAGTGGGTAGACACCTAACCCTGGCAATCTGAGTTTGTTCCCCAGGACCAAAAAGGAGGTTGCCCTCTAACCATACCTCATAGCACACATACACCTAATCTCTCTCTCTCTCTCTCTCTCTCTCTCTCTCACACACACACACACACACACACACACACACACACACCAAATAATTATCATGTGATTTTATTTTAAAACTTTAAAGAAGCAAGGGCTTTTTAAAAGAGCTTCCTTTGAGGTGGGCATGCAGGAACAACCCTATAATCTCAGTACTGGGGAAGCTAAGGCAGAAGAACGGAAAATTCAAGGCCAGTCTGGGCTATATAACATGACCCCATCTAAAAAAGAGACAGAGTGAAAAAGAGAAAAAACATAAACTCAATTTCTCAGATCTAGTGGGACACAAGGAAGTGAGCTGGGCTCTTCACTCAGTGGCTGCACACCAGGCCGCATACCCTGACTCCAGTGCAAGCCCTGTTCTCAGCCACACTCAGGAAAGTGGCCTGCCAGGCTGTGCTTGCCTAACCCATCTTCACTGGGCTTCTCTATGGACACTGTGCTCACATATGTGTGTTATTTGATTTCAGCTACTATGGAAGACAATCAGCTTGGAATAGAACATATAAGATTTAATTTATGAAGAAAGTACATATCAGATATAATTTATAAAGAAAGGTTTTGACTTTCTAGAATGTTCTTACTCTTATCCACTAGCATGACATTGGGCTGCTCTTAATGCAATTACATTTCAAGGAAAATTGAAATCAAGAAAGGTGGTAAGAAGCGCATGCCTTCTACCAGCTGGGTAACATCAGTTTCTGGATTCTTAAGGGTCACCTTCTCCCATGGTTTAGAGTGGCACAGAAAAGCTGGAGACATCCACAAAGAAGATTTGCTTCAAATATATCGCTTTATTGCAATTTAGGGTGGCAAACCCAAATCAAGCCATTGCACTTGATCCCTTCAATCTGGACTGGGACAACATGGTAGACAGATGGCTGCCCTTCCTCCTCCTGATGCTTTGTCAGGAAGGGGAAGGAGAGTTCTCAAAGAACCAGCTGAGCTGGACCCAAGGCCTGTGCTAACCTGTGGGCTTGTAGCTAACCCCAAATTCCTCTGTGTGGTCAGAGGCAGCTGCCCAGTGCCACTTAGCCAAGCCTTCTGCTATTCCATTCCTGAGAGGATGGGCATGAGGTGGTTTCTGCTGAAATGCCCAGCTCCTCCCCTGGTAAGGTTGTTCCTCTTTGGTGACACTCCTCCTTACCGAGGACAATAGCAAATGCTCTCTTAGCTTAGGAAAGTAAGTACTGAATATGTCTGTTTCTCTTAAGGCCAGCTTATCAACTGATTCAATGAAATAAAAGAATGAAAATGAAAAGATGTTTCTTCCAGAACCCCCAAACTAGCTGGAGGAAAGTTGAAAAATAAAATCAAGTTGACTCAAGCAAGACACACTTTCTCTTTGCTCTACAAACAATGACAAACCCACAAATTCAGGAGCACAAAGCTCCTCTATAGGAGGTGGCCACATCCTACTCAGCACTGTCAAAAAACTACCTATATCCAGCAGGTTGGTCTGGTGAGGCTTTCACTTCTAGTACCCACCTAGCATTATCACCTTCTTTGAAGGTCATACAACTGCATACTACACCCTATGGCCCTATGGCCTCCCCAGAAAGATCAGAGGAGCAGAAAGGAACCCAACCACAGAACCAAGAGAGAAGCCATCCCAGACAATGCTACCCCATCTTCTCTTTAGTGCCCTTGGGTTTAGGATTTTAGACTGAGTTGACTATAGCCCTTCAATCCCTGAGGTTACTAGGTATGAAGACCCTTCTGTAGAAAAGGAAGGAAGCTGCCAACCACAGCAGAAAGGCTGGGACTGCTGTTCAGTTAACATACTGGTTCCTGCCCAAGTACGGGGTATCAGTAGACTGTACCACGGAGCCTGCCATTGTCTCCTCGAAAATGATGACCTGTGGAAAACAAGAGCTGAACTGTGAGGTCCATCCTGTGGACAGATGAGAGCTGGATGGTACCACAGGATAGAAGGAAGAGTGTGGGAGTGAGTGCAGAGTCATCACCAAGGAAACGGGAAGAACAGTCAGCTGGAATACCCACCCTCTCCTATTCCCTGGCGAAGCATTTCAGGGGTAGAGAAGCAACTTGCTAGCAAGGATGGGAAAACAGTAACATGGAAAAGGGATGGAGCCTAGAAATATTCCCACCTTGTTGAGTCCTTTGTCCAGCCAGACACCTGGGAGGTAGAGAGTTTCCTGAGGTCCTATGTTCCAGTAGCGTCCAAGATTGTGATCATTGACAAATACAACCCCCTTCGTCCAGCCCTTGAAATAAAATAGGGAAGGTCTTGATTTACTACAAAAGCCCCAAAAATAAAGTCACACCAGAAACACAGTGAGATATAGGCCATGTTCCTGAGAGACCAAAGTGAACCCACATTTGACATCCATGTAGGTCAACCCACCCCACTGCTGTGAGACTCCTAGGCAGAGTAGTCAACCTCAGACTGTCCATGAGGACCCATGTACTAAGAAGTACCAGAGGTGGTTCTGCTCTGAGCCTACTCCTTTACCACAGAGAAGTCACAGGGTCCCTATCATATGAGGCAACATAGAAAGACGAACATAAAAGGAAAGGGGTCCTACAAACCTCTAGCTTCAGAAATGTGTCTGAAGGGTAAATGCCAACTGACAAGGCACCCAGGAAGAAAGCAGGAAAGGTGGGTTCTTTAGGGATGAAACTCCACTTATCCACATCGAGCCTAAAAACAGGATGTAAGGAGGAAAAAGAGGGAAGGACCATCTCACATCTGCTTCCAGAGCTGCTTCTAATTCTTAAGGCACATTCATTCTCCCAACAAGGCTAGGAGCCACATATCCCCCAACCAGGCCATAGCATGGCAACAAGACAGCAGGATGGGCATTTCCCAGTTTGGAAACAGGGGTTCCAGTGCCGGTCCTACCCATCACCTTAGGTAGGTCACTTTGGCCTCTGGATCTCTTTATAACTTTGCAGGACCCTGATAGGGAGGCCAGGTTACTTCTGGCTCTTGGTACATGTTAGTTATGACCTCTTTACCAGACTCACAAGGACCCACCTCTGAAAGAACTGCTTTGTCATATCCAGGCTGTAGATTCTGAACTTTTTCAGGGGATCATTGTCCAGATAGAGATTTCCAATTAAACCTGGAGAAAATGGCAAAGAAAGATAAACGCGCCCCAAATCAGGAGACAGGAGGCACAATGGCAGCCAAGGCATGTGTAGATGCTCCAGGAAAGATGAAGCAAGGATTTTCCTAAAGCATGTGCTGCCTAAAGTACTTTGTACATGGACTAAAGCCTCCCTTGAAATTTCAAAAAAGGGACAATAAACAAGACTACTGTTTGTCAAGGCCTACGATTTGTCATAAAGAGCAGTGCATCTGAGGACAGTGACAAACTAAGAAGTCAATGTGTAACATCTGGCTTCTGGACTCTTTCTGTGGGGTGGGGTGGCTAAGTGGTGACAGACAGCCTAACTTTGTGGTATCATGAGGTCTCAGACCAGGAAGAGACCTGGTCACTCAGCCAGAAACTCTCTATACGACCTAAGATTAAAGTTAACTTTAAAGACATCTAAATCATGAACAGATGATAACATCATGAAGGTATCTAGCAGTAAGCAACTGCATACCTGAAGGGCAGCTGTTCAGCACCTTAAGGGTGGAGACAACTGGGTCTGGATCAACCTCCATGGCAAGGACAAGCATGTGAGCATATGTATTTCTGATGGGAAAGTATGTGAACTGCAAACACTGAGCTGGCCAAGATGGTCAGACACACTCAATTAAGACCCTAGGGAAATAAAGACTGGAAAGTCTGATGGGTCTTTCTAACTCCAAAACAACAGAAGAGGAAAGATGGGTCCAAAGAAGGAAGACTAAGGAAAGCGTTGAGGCCTATGGAGAAATACTGAAGAACTACTGACAGTTGAGGATGGTGGCCTAGATGGAGCTACTTTGTTATGTGGCACTCCAAGGATGGTGCTAGATGGTGCTAGAGGATCTGATTTGAGGCTCTTCTGGAGAGGAAGCCCCAAAGGCTGAGGCCATATCAATTTCTGGGCATGTGCCAGAGGCTTTCAGCTGATATCCTGACCAGGAAAGTTTCCTCCACCACAAATGCAGATGGGGGAAAGTGAAATGGAATGTCACCAACTCCTTTCCATAGGAAGATCTTATTTTAACTTAGTTTCCTTCCTACACTTCTCGGGGAACTACCCACATACAAACAGACAGGGAAAGAAAGGGACTAAAAGTCTGATTCAGGAAGCCAGGGACATGGGCAAGTGTACTGGAGGGATACTCCTAGAAGGGCACGACAACAAACTGTGGTGTGCTCATGGCATGCCTAACTTCCTCCTGAGCCCAGAGCAATGTCTGTGAGTTTTCCTGAGAGAGATAAAGAACAGAAACTCAGAAGGCAGGTGTTTGAAATTCTTCCATGGATTCAAGGATACTCCCATTCCTTGTTCCTTACCCACAACCCTGCAAGCAGAGAGGCCCACTCCCACAAAGTAAATTTTGGTATAAAAATTGAGAGGCCAACTCAGGGCTTACAGAGGTTTTTTTCCACAGGCACATGAACTGTACAATTATGAAGAACTAAAGGGAAAGTGGCCAAACCCTCCTAGTCTATTAACCAGGACTTATATTTAGGTAAACCAGGTACCTTCTCTCTTCAATAAACCTCCATGAACCACCTCTCTTGCAATGGGATCCACGGTCCACCTCCCTGCAGCATAAACCATTTCCCTAAAAGGGGCCCCAGTGGCCTGCTGACGTACTCGATGGCAAACATATAAACAAGCCAGATGAGTGATGACAGCTTTTCTCCTGGTCTATACTAGGACCCACCTTTGCGCTGAGTGTCAATATTATTCCCATAGTTGACTCGCCCACGATTTTCCACCAAGATCCTCAGTGTGGTGTAGCCCTGCCAGGAACAGAGTGGCCATTTATCACTGACTGATAAGCCAGTTACACTTGGGGATCTCTGTATTCCCCAGACATGAGAATGGGAGTGAAAACCACTGATCAGAAAGCTAGGTGTGCCCCTTCTGTTCCCAGTTCTTAATTAAGGATCTTCCTACCCATCACCCAGCTCTCTAGGATAACAAACCTGGGTCAAGGGGATAGTAATCGCTGTTGTTTTATAGTCCAAGAATCCTATGAATATTCTGTTCAAAAAGACCTGCCAAAGTGAGCAGATGAAAATCATAGTCAATGAGAGGAAGATAGGAGGACTTTCTGCTAAACAACAAAACAAGTACCATTGTGGGGACTTTTGAAGGTTCTTGGCAGGTAAGGAAGAAAAGTAAACACCACAGTTACGAGGGAAAGACCATGCAATCTCCAGCTAGCAGAGATAGCCAGTTTTACACACTGGCAACAGCTGGTTGTGAAGGCAGAGAATAAGGTATGTACTGCCGTGCTTTGTCACTACAAAGTCCTGGGAGTTCAGAGATGCTCCTACCTGTCCCCTGTCGCGCACATTGCCACTGAGAACTCCAGATGAAAAGATGGTAGTCTCGTAAAGAATGTACCCAAAGGCCTGCCCATTACCGTTGTTTACTGGCAGGTTCTCCATGTTGATGGGAAGCTCAGACTCGATTGGCTACATAAGAAGACACAAGAAGGCACAGGAGCCAGGCTGCTCCTAATCCTAAGTCTTCACCTCAGCAGCAAGGACATCAGGGACAGGATGCAAGGTTTCTCTAGGCTCTTTTTTCTATCCCACCTTCTAGCCAGCTTAAACTCATGGCTCATTAGTCCCAGAAATAAGGTTGACAGGAACAGGGAGATTTCACAAAGGTCCTACAGTCTATTAGAATCCTTAACCCACTGTCACATCTGCATCACAAAAGAATGAACTGTAGAGTAAGGTGCCCTCTCCTCTCCATTGGGGGGGGGGAGGATCATCCCTCCTTTCCTTACTCTAGTCATGATCCAAGCCTACCCCTGAGGCTAAAGGAGGAGGAACCAAGCTCAAGCTCTTCTATGCCTTCCCACTTCCCACTCTAGCACCACTGTATTCTCTTTACTCAGTTCTCTGGTTAGGAAGAGACCCCAATGCCACTGAATGGCTTTGCTCATCCCAGAACCCCATTTGGCAAGTTCCCAGTTCCTGTTTGCTTGATAACCATCCCTGAAGCCCAGCCTGCAGCACTTACTTCTTCCAAGTACAGGAGAGCATCCCACAGTGATATGTAGAAAGATGGCCTCATTGGCTCATAGGTCATCTTAAGAGTAAGCTCAGGTGGAGGAGGCAGAGGGATACCTGAAACAGGAACCATGACCCTCCCTTAAAGACTCAATCATCACTTCTCTTCCAGCCTCATACCCACAGTCCAATGCATTCCTTTCATCTCAACACCAGTATCAACCACAGGCCCTATTCAGTGCTGGAACTACTCTAGAACACAAGGTGTGGGCAAGGGAAGGGCTTCCTTGTGTCTTCTGTATGTCATAAACAAGCTTAGTATGAGCTAAATATGAGAAGCATGGCATGATGAATATAGTCTCTCAAACTTTCCTTTTCTAGAATGCTTGTTTGTTTGTTTATTTGTTTTGGGCAGTGATCACAGTGAAACATAGGACCTTATGCATGCTAGGCAAGAGTTCTTCCATGGAACTATATTCCTAGTAGTCTAGAATATTCTCGAATATGGTTCAGCTGGAGTTGAGATAGGATAGCAACACAGTAGAAGCTCCAAGGACTCATGGCAAAAGCATGGATCCAGATGGATGTCTGATTCTGCTGCCTATTTGTACCTGAGAAGGTTCCAAAGAGGTCTCGAAGCTTGGTGTATTTGGCAGTATAATCTCCAGCCTCTGTCAATACAGCATCATAGTCTGAAAGACACCCATTGACCTTTTACAGTCTCTCCTGTGACCAGGGATGAAGTGCAAAGGGATGAAGAAAAAAGAAGAAAGGAAGAAGCGGAACTGGGTTGGGGGAACAGAGTTCTCAAACCAGCAATCTTGGGGAAAACACCTTTTAATGAGCCATTCAGTCAAAATACAGTAGGTACCATATGCTACAAAAGTACCTATAAACATAGCATGATCCTAAATTTTTTATTGCATGTGGATACAACGGAGTATCTGTTCTACTCCTTGTGAACTCAGTCAGAAGGGGAAAGGCTAACCCCATCCCTACCACTCCAGATTTGCCTCCCTTCACTTGGTCCTCCAAAGAGCTCTCTAAACACAGCAAGCTGTTCATAGGCACCTAGTGGTCTAGAACTTTCAAAGTAGCAGACCAAGCCTATATCTTCCCTGGACATTACATAGCCAAAGACATGAAAGAAGCCAGAAACTGTCTCTAAAGAACTCTCCATCAAAAGAACTAGCCATACAAACACTGGGAAGGAAGAGAGAGAACCATTGCAGATACTTGCCATAGCTGGTGACATCAGCCTTGTAGTCATTAAAATGCATGGCTCCGTTTATGAAGCCAAAATTTGTGCCTCCGTGGAACATGTATAAGTTGATGGAGGAGCCAGCTTTGATGATAGCAGACACTGTTTGAAAGACCTCTTCAAGGAGAGCAAGGAGGAGGGATGTTTAGTATGTCAGAGTATAAGGGAAACCCTAACTAGGCCCTGGTTCCCTTACCTCCCAATCCCCACCAGGTCCATTTGATCCATCACTGGGTCATGCACCTTTTCCTGGACAATCTGTAGCCAGTAGGCTGTTTCTACACTAGCAGCTGGCATGTTACCCAGTGGCTTTCTGTTCCAAGGAAATGCAAAAAAGATGGGACCCCATTATACAATAGTCCTGCCTATATCCCTAAGTTCTCCCTTAACTAATAAATGAGCCAATGATATGCAAAGAGAGTATCAGACAACAAAATAAAAGGTTGGTTAATATATATTTATATGATATATACAGTAAATGCAAACTCAATACTGATTCAATACAAACCTAGTGAACTGGCAAATTTTTAAAAATCATTTTACTGCTTAGTACTGATGAATCTGCAGGAAATGAGTACTGCTTTATGAAGGGCAGTGGTGAATGCATATATTAAAACTGCATTGATGTAGCAATTTGTTCTTTTTCATATAGAAATATATGCCAAGTATACAAAACTAGATGTTGAAGGATACTCACTTAAATAGTGTCCAATTAATCAAACCCAAAACTAAGCAACTATCAGTAAGGAACTAGGTCACTAAATGGTGGTTTAGTCATTGATACAATGGGGCTTTTCAAACTCTTTAAGACAGTAATGTCCAATTACTCCAAGTATTCCTATGTTCAGCAATACAAGATGGTGTGTGTGTGTGTGTGTGTGTGTGTGTGTGCATGCATGTGTGCATGTGTGTGAAGATCTGATTAATCTGTGTCTAGTTTTATCTATCTGTACATAGATGGAGATATACTATGGGCTGCCTATACTGTTAAGTACGTCAAAATGCTTGATCTAGACTTGAGGGCTTTTATTTATTCTTTAAACTTTCCTACATTTCTTAGATATATGCAATAAGCATGTGTTACACAGAAAAGCAATGATGAAATTCCTACTGCTATTTCAAGTCAAGACTGAAATAACAAGAGCTGAGTATGAACCTAGGATTCCAGGAACCTAGCACCCTACAACTCCATACACAATGTCAAGAATGTAAGGAATATAAAATACATTCTTACTCAGGGCCAACATACATATTAGATGTAGGCAAAATAAAGCACTCACCAGAGGAATCCAAGATATTGTGGGGGCCACCCCATGAGTCAAACCACCCAGTCCAGTACTCCATCACCATCTTCGGTTGAATCCCCTGGGTACCACAAAATAAGAATTAGGCAGATGGGCTGATCAAAAGACGTCGAGGTTGCTTCTTGGAAGGAATCCTAATACCTCTTTCCTCCCTGGGCATCTACCCCTTCCTCAGAGACTTGTAAGTGCACAGCACTGATGATCACTCACCCACCACAAGAGGCCTCACCACCCACTGGTAGAATGTGGAAGAAGAGGCTACCAGAGTTGATGTTTAATGTGCTTTTGAGGGTGCATCTGATGGGTGTTCGCAAGACAGGAGTATATGTTCAAGCTAAGACTTCATCAGAATTTTCCAACTGACTTGGATGCCCTTTATAACACTGGTTGGATTGCATTCTGGCTCAAAACATTTGCCTATCGTCCACCGGGGAAGAAGAATGTCCTATTCTGGATGAGTACATCCAAGAGCCACACCATAGGTGCAGACACGCCAAAGTACTGCTTCCCCATATCTGGAAGTCAGCAGGCTTCAGGTTGGGTCTTCTTTAAGCTCTGAATTAAACAACAGTTTAGAACTAAACCATAGACTCAGATCCTAACAGAGAAGCAAATCAGGGTGCAAGCTCTACAGCTGCAGTCTGGATTCATTTATACCTTCCCTGGGATACTGATTAATTATTATTTCAGAATACTGACATGACATCTGCTTTTTCCAAGCATATGGAGACCATTTGGAGACTATACTCAGCTCCACCATGTTTGCAAAAGCTGAAAACACCTTGGCAGGTATACTCATTTGCTAAGATTTTAGGCTCTGGGTCAGGAAGCATTCCTTGTTTATTTGGTGACAGCTAATTAAGTACCCTCTCTCAGGGTTTGCCTGACATTTGAAACTGCATAAAAAGCAACAGAACACGTTCCAGAGAGATGGGGCATACTCAATAGTCCATGGCATAGAACATACCAATTTCCCTGGGAAAAAGCCAATATAGCCACAAGAATTTTTAGCAAGGTGGTAGCTTTATTTCTCTCTACAAAATATCTACATCCCAAGATATGTTGTACTATGCACACATTAAAGTCACCCAAAAGGGAGAAGCAGAGTTGAAGGTCTAAATCCCAATAACCTCCAGTGACAACAGTGGATTTGTTTGCTTAAGGCCTTCTGTGATGTTATGATGGAGTGAAAGCCCAGCATGGATCAAGCTGTCTCACTGCAGAATGTGGTGCAACCAACCCCAATTGGCCATCTTCTGGGTGATTTCTCCATTTTCTGTCCATTTGTTTGACCACAGGTAACAGTAACAGTGGTCAGCACCCATGCTCACTGGGAGAATTAGATGGAATGATGCATATAAATCTCTGGTATCTAGAAAGTACTCAAAAATTTCTAGCATGAGTTACCTTCCTCACTGGGCACATACGTGAGGACTAATGAATACTCCAGAGTTAACCAGTGCTGGGGTCTACAGTGTACATTCAATGAGCCCTTTATATAAAACCACTCATTTAAGTAAGGGCAGATGTCATGGACTATACAAGAAAGTGACATTCTGCTGATAACACAGCCAGGCCAATAGCACTAATATGGCAAGTTTTCTAGGGACCAGCACAGATGCCCCTTCCATCACCAGTACTGTGAGGTACTTTTCAAATATTACCTTATTCAAATCAAGGTTCACATTATACCTATTCAACTGAAGGAAAGAGAAATACAGCAGAGGCAAACAATGTGTCCAAAGTCCCACAGTAGAGTGACCAAGTGGATCCTAAGCAGCTCCTGGCATCTGCACCTTCCCTTGACAGCACTCAACTGCAACTCTGCTTAGCCACTTTGAGACAGTATCTTGTGAGTCTCTCTTCCCACGCAGATTACAGACTCCACAAGGAATGAGGCCCTACAATCAGTTATGACATAAGATAGACAGACCAGGCACTTCTACAGACAGAGAAAAGACCTAGGATATACTGGGAGAAAGAAGATGAGAAGAAAGGGTTCCACTTGATCCCAAACATGTACATGTATTAACCCTCCCCTCTGGGAAGTCTACCAGTGATCAGGCCTGCCCTCCTCTTAAAAGCCTGTCCAGCCCTTCCTGGCCACCATCTATACTGCAGGAATAGTCACACATTACATATATACTCACCTTACAAGGTACTACCTGTCATTATGACTTCATGTGAGTGTACCTGAGGGTGTCATCCCTACTCTGAAAGGCCAGCAGCTAAAACAATCTACTCAATGGACCACAAGTATGCCCACAATATTGACCCAGTATTCCAATAGATATCTATCCACTGCCAATACACTCTTAGCAGTTTCACTCTAGGACCATGGTGGATATGCAATTGGTAGGGGCAAGCTGGAGGCATTCACCCCCCTCTATAAGCCAGGCTGAGAAAGACTCTCAGTTCTACATATGGGATATAGCTAGGCCCCAATCACATCTGTCTGTTTAGGGGAGACACACAAACTAGAAACACCAACTGGAAAAGGGCTATGCGTAACCATCAACCTGGAAAATCTGAAATACACCCAGAATCCTCTCTCTATTCCCAATTTGTAATCAACAAGGCCTCCTGTCCTATGGATAACAGAAACATTTCCAATGCCAATAAGGTTAAGGTAGGGTGCCTTCCATGGTATGGGACAGAGGGGCTTCTTTTCCCTCTCAATCTCTCAAAGCAAGGCTGGGGCTTGCAGAGTCCATAAAAGCCAAAAGCTTCAAAAAGGTGTCCTTCCTAACAGAGCACAGCACACTTGGATGCTGTCAGTCTCCATAACAAAATTTTAGAGCCGCTTCCATCCCAGCCATGAGGCAATGTGGCATGAACCAGGAGGCTGGGAGAGCTAAGAGTCGCCCCATCACAGAACTCTGGGCATGGGATCCACAGCATCCTTTGGACAGACCTACCTGTATAGATAAGAGAATACTGTTGAGTGCCTTCAGCTCCTGTTGGGACTGTAAATTAATGGTGGCCAGCACTGGGAAGAAAGAAAAACAAAGCATAGTCTTGAAGTCACAAAGACTTTTCTGAATTACCCAAATCTTCAATCCACCAGCATATATAGATAGGTGTGTGTGTGTGTGTGTGTGTGTGTGTGTGTGTGTGTGCATACATGTACATATGTGTATATACACATATATATGTATGTGTCTGCATTCATATATATATATATATATATATATATGAATGAATGAAAGCTAGGATAGATATTGTTTCCCACCTCCCACTAGAATGGAAGTTAGCTCCTGTGATGCTAGTGTTATTTTGGAAATTCCACTGGTCAATACAGGAGTGGAACCACAAGACGCAGCATCTGATTTTACTGACTGTAATGTTAGCAGAGAGAAGGCTTCTCTGCTTCTCTGAACTACTGTCACAGGAAACAGAGCCTAAGCTCTACACTGCACTCTATGTGCAATGGTAATGCCTCTGTACACAAGGGCAATGATCTCAATGAAGACTCATGTCTCATTTCTTGATAAGAATGCATTCTATTCTATTCCATAATGAGTTTACTTTAACCAGTATTTTATATAGCTTTCCACTAGTGAAATGCATGCTCAAGAAAAATGGTACTGCTGGCTGGTGGCCATGGCCCTGACACAACTGTAGAACTTGACTCCAAGGACCCTTACTTGCTTACTGTCCACTTGAATGGTCAGTTGCAGATGACTGGCTTAGGAGTGACAAAGACAGGCTGCTCAACCCCAGCTAAACCCAAGATATCAAGCCACAGTAACCAGTGAAGGAAACAGAGCTAAGGCTCCAAAGGTACAGAAATGTCCCTCGTGGTCCACAATTTGTGAACAGCAGAGTAGGGCTGCAAACTCAGGACCCTTCACACCAGGACAGTATGTCACTGTCTTCTAGCAGCACACAGGGGAAGATCCTCCAACTAGAACTTTCCTTGTCTAAAGTTAACCACCCCTTTCAGGAAGCCTGTTTAAAAATGTTAAACCTCCAAGTCAAGCCAATGCACAGGGCCAGCTGAAAACACACACCTAGGTTGTGTCATCCTGACACTTCATCAACCACAAGGCGACAGAAAGCAGCTGCAAGCAGAGTACAAAAGGGATATGAGCACAAAGTGCCAAGGGAACCCTGGGAAAGTGAAAACCACGGCGGGATAGCAGGGCATCTATGAGGGGGTTTCTTTCTACCAGATCCCATAAGCCCTTGCTCCACTTTGAGCACCATGAAGAGGGCCTCTCCATCCACAGGCATCCTCCCTCCCTGTTGCCAAGCTTCCTCTGCACCCGTGTCCATCCCTTCAGTGGGGTTCACGTACTCTTAGAAAGCAATAGAAGGAGAGGAATAGAAGGGGAGACGGAAGGGTATTCCTGAGCAAGTGGCTCCTAAGCATTCCTTACTCTTGTTCCTCAAATATCTGTGCAAAAAGCCAGAGGCAGCTTCTGTAGCTGCTTAAAAATGCTATCTCTAGACACTGGCATTTGAGTTTCCTGATATTAATAATCCCACTGGCACCACCCCAGGGAAAGACTCCTGTTCACCTTCTTTACCCATTTTAAGAGCTGCATTTCCCCTCAAAAAAATGGTTAGAATAGTAACAGAAAGTCAGGGCAAGCAGGACTAATATAAGGAACAAGTAAAATATTTACAAACACAGTTAAAGAGATCTCTGTTAAGACATTTGCTAGGAGATATGGGGGAGTGATAAGGCTGGGAACAAAAGTCAGGATGGCCCCCATGTGTGGTACATGCTTGTAATACCATTATCTTGTCACTTAAAAGACCAGGTAAGAAGCGTCAAGAGTTTGAGGACAGCCTCAACTACACATAAAAAAGAGGATGCTGGGAGGGGGAGAGAGAGGCAGATCTGAGATGAAAAATAAAGCAAATGGCGTAGTGACTCCACTGAAGGTGAGAACTAAGCACTCTGACTCGCCACCAGATTCACGAGCTACAAAGCAGCACAGCCCACCCCGCAGACCTACAGCCAAGATGCACATCTGCACTGAACCAGCGCTAAGAAACAGAAGGTATGTGAGACCAAGGAAACCCCAGCCATCCACAGAAAAACAGGACAGCTTCAGATTCCTAAGTCAACAGAAGTGTGTGGGCTATATAGAAACAGGTCAGCGAGAGTTGAAAGGAAAAGATACAACTCAAGACGGCTGTTTCTGGGGAACGGGGTAAGGAGGAAGGTATGTTTCTTTTTACCTTTTTTGGTTTTTTGTTTTGTTCTTGTTTTGTGAGACAGGGTTTCTCTGTGTAGCTTTAGAGCCTGTCCTGGAACTCGCTCTGCAGACCAGGCTGGGCTCAAACTCAGAGATCCACCTGCCTCTGCTGGGATTAAAGGTGTGTGCTACACCATAAAGGTGTATTTCTTGGTAAGTATTCTTTTAATATTTTACTTACAGGCCATGTGAATGAATGCTTTAACTTTTTAAATTAAAAACCATCATTCCAGGCAGCAGTGATAGCAGGTGCGCAAGGGTTGGAGCCTGAAGAGGAGAATGGGTGGGAATAAAGAAAGCCTTGGTAGCAAACATGAGTAGATGTTGCCACCTGGTGGAACTAACAGGAATCACTATTGATCTTTGTCACAACCAAGAAAGCTAAGAACCTTTTCCTCTCCATCCACCCAATAGTCACACCGGGTATTGTGGAAGGGATATCAATTTAAAGGCACCATCTACAAACGGGTCAGTCCAGAGGGGGAAATACAAGAGGCAAAGCAGACATGAGGAGATGTGATGACAGAGAGGCACAGTACAGGGACCCACAGAGTCACACTGCAACTGAATAGAGGTCTCTTCAAGCTCTGTGAGCATGAACCATGTATGAGCGCATGGCCAAGCAAAGGCCAAATGAGACAGCCCCAGGCCCCTAGAGCTCACTGCTGCTGTGAGATAGAGGGGTGAGTTAAGCCAGCTACTCCAGAGGTTAAAAGTCAAAATGGCGGAGAGGGCCGAGCCTTGTGAAGGGGTGCATTGTCTAACAGGGTGCTCAGAGAAAAATCTCACTCGCCACTGGGAGGCAAGCTATGCAGATTCCCAAAAGATGTGCAGAGTCACCGAATCTGAGGGTGTTCTGTGTACCTGAGAAACAGAAAGGGGCCAGGAGAGTAGAACAGAGTGAGAAAGAGCACACACCTGGAGAGCAGCTGGGTCACTCGTGTGTGTGGAGACTGTGAGGCATGCTGCTGGGGTGTATCAGGGTCATGTGTGGGACTATGGAAGCAGGCAGTGGAGAAGGGCTGTGGGAGAGAAGATGTGGGGAGCCCACTCGGCTGTTCTCAGAGTGTGGGCTTCCCTCTTTTCCCCGTGGAGCACCTGGAGCTCAGGCAGTAGCACAAGATGATCTGGGCTGCATGCTTATCCGTTAGAGAATATGTAGTCTTGGCTGGCCTCAAACTCATGACCCTCCTGCCATCATTACCCTAGTGGGTAATGGATTGCATTCTCAAAGGTGGGACAAACTGCTATATTAAGCAAAGCTTGCTGGAGGGATTAGTGAAGTACTGTTGTATTGCACGTGTGAAGGGTGGCAAGAGCTGAGGTGGTGAAACACATCTGAGTTCCAGATACACTTTGAAGAGAAGAGTAAGATAAAAGGATGGCTGCTGTGTTGGGCAGGAGAGGGCTGAGAATAACTGCAAGGTTTGATGCAATTGAGGAGAAATGGAGCTACAATTTTCTGATAAAAGGAACCCTGCCAATGGGAGCAGCCACCTTTAGCACTGTGAATACCCTATGTACTTAGCAAGAACCACCAGATACAGCTGCCCGGGTACTTGGCATTTACTAAAAGCAAGGCATTTACTAAAAAGTAGAGAAAGGGGCCATGGGTGATACTGTGAACCCTATTACTCCTGAAGCCCAGAGTGCCAAGCCCTGTGCTAAGCACCACAGGCACCAGGGAAACTCCTGCTTCTATCTCAGACCACACCCAGGGAATTGTGCAGAAGAGCCAACCAGGCAGCCTCCTGTAGGTACCTCCACTGACCACTCCGTTTTGTAGGCCATCTTTGTTGTCTGAGGTCAGGAGCATCTCTATAATACCACGATCTTCCAAGGCCTGTTTGGAGAGTAAAAGGCAAGTTAAACTCTGTCCTTGTTGCTCAAAGCTCCTGCAGGGTCACAGCTGAAGCTGAGGTTATCCACAGAGAAAAAGAGAGAAATCAAATCTATCCAAAGTGCTTCCCTACATGTTGTCTCTGACCACAATAGTCAGCAAACTTCCAATAAGTGTTTGGTTTCCAAGTGTGGTGAAGGACAGGGATGCTGAGCTCTGGCAGGCCTTGGTTGCTCCTGAAGGTTTGATCAGTTTGGGGTGCACACAAGCTTATTCAGAGGCTATCTCAGTGGGTCTAGACCCCATGCTATCACATGGTAACTCCATGCTATCACATGGAGCCTGAGGAGCCCCAGTGAGAGGGTCAGGTCTCCAGAGGACAGAACACTATATTGTCCCCTTCATCCACATCATGAACAAGAAACTTGTCTCTTCCCCACTCTAAGCCAGTGTGACCTTGGTCAGTGGCAGAGGCAACCGTGGCAATGGCATGCCCAGCAGAAGTAGAAGCAATCCTTGGAGGTCATAAATGAAACCACTGCTTGGGGAGCAATAGGACTGCTGCCACTCAGGATAACTGGGTACCATCAGAACATTAGCCATGATGCTAACTAAGCACTTTGACTGTCTCCTTTACTCTTCATAGCCAACATCTGAACAGCACAGACAAAGCACCAGAGAGGCTGAATGAAGTTAGAATCAGTTGCAGCGGTCATGTGAGAGGTGGGGTTGAACTCAGAATATGTCCACCCACATAGGCTCCACCCTGGAACTTTGGACTCAAACAGTCCTACAATGCTGATTTAAAAAGACAAAAGTATATTTTAACTGAATTATTTTGGAAACAGAGGAGTAACATCTAATCCTAATGGCAGATTCCAAGTACTGTAAAGACAGAGCAGCAACTCTCAGGGGCTGGAGCACTTAACCCATAATGAATATTGATGAAATGTCTATTAAAAGCCCTGGACCACCCTCCTTCAACTACCCAACTAGTTACTCACTAACACAGAACAATTCATTTTCTAAACCCTTCAATTTTACAGGCATTAATTTAACCTTACTCTTTAAAGGCCAACTACTATTTCCTAAGTACCAGCCACTTGCCAAGCACAGAGCTCACACACTCTTACAGAAGCCTTAGGAAAGGGCATTCTTGTGTCCATTTTGCACACGATGAAAGTAGACTCAGAAAATTGAGGGTGTCATGGCCAAGGTCATTCAATACCAGTGAGACATATATCTTGTCCACACCCCCAGAGAAGTTGCACATAGTTCAGGGGAGATCTTCCCAAAAGCCTCAAGCAGGCAGAGCTGGGCTACCAGGGAAGCATGGTTGTAGAGACAAGGTCCCCTAAGTAGCTACTGTCTACTCCTGATGCTTCTCGGAGCTCTCCTCTTCAGCTTCATCATCAGTAAACAACTGCTGGAGATGTCCCAGTGCTCCAGGGAATACAATGGAGGACTGTAGCAAGAGAAACCCTGGAGTCTATGCCCAGGACTGGCTTCTTCCGATGTAACCCATGACAAGGAAGTTAGATGTGTGCTCTCTCCAGGATGTGGACAAGCATGTACCCTGCTCCTTTCCAAATACCACCCTCCATCGACAGCATATATCCTACTAAGAGCTCTCCTTAAGTAAAAAGGAAGGGGAACAAAGTCAGGAACTAGAAATTGGAGCACTTGAGCTTCAGCCTCCAAGCTGTAGGAACAAAAGGAATTTCTAGATGGAAAGTTAAACTGGGAGTGATAGCAGTAGGGACACTGGCCAAACCATGGAGTCAAAGCCATCAACCTTTAGTCAGACAGATCCAGAGAACCCGTTTCTGATTTCCTTAGCTCATACCATGGCCAACCTCCAGAGTGTGCTGGAAGACATGCTGCCAATGACTCTACCAAAGCCATTTATTGACAACTTACTGTATACCTAGAACAGTACCCGGCCACCTAATTTCACATAAGAAAAGAGGCAGGCATTCTTTTTCAGCCCCGCTTTGTAGACGATAGGAGGAAACTTGGGGAAAATAGAGACATCTGGTCAAAGCCTCAGCTACCAAGAAAGAAACCAGAGCAGATTGTCAGGCCTCTCTTTGCTGTCACCCCCGCCACCCTTCTGTCATGCCATGTGAATTGGCAGTTCTCACCTGTCCCCTCACTGAGTACGGTCCCAGAAATCCGTATGACAAGTGTGGTGTGTAGGTATGTAGCTGACCAGGGACTTTGTTTACATTTCCTCAATAAAATCTATGTATCTGGCTTTCTGTGAGGATGAGGGAGACATTCCTCAAAGCCTGCATCAACTCCACTTAGTTAAGGTAATTCCTTTATTCTTAGCCCCTGCGGCACTACATGACCACTAAAAATATCACAGCAAACTCAAATGATAAAGGGTAAGTGATAACTCTGTAGAGATGAACCCTGAAGAAAATTTCACTAATGAATAATGTGGTGTTGGGAGGCATGATATATTAATTTCAGAAAAGTATTGGGGTGACATGTCACAGTCTGTGATATATTTCAGGAGAAGGAATGTAAAGAAATGAATTAAATGACTCTTACCTTCTTGATGTAAGGCATGTATGCACGGTCTTTGTTATAGGAACCATATTCATTCTCCACTTGCACAGCAATGATGGGCCCCCCATGCTTATACTAGGGGAAAGAGATAAACAATTAGAAGCTAAATGAGTCACGGGATTCACAATATCTAAACTTAAATCCATCACAAATTACCAGTAGCACATTATACTGACAACAACAATCTCAGTAGGCTTTGTGTGTGGCTGAGAATGACATTGTCAGACATCAAAGAAAGGAGCATCAGACCCATGTCTTGCTGTGGAAACATCAATCAACCACAGACTAACCAGAGCAGTTCAGGAAACCAGTCAAAGACCTAAGCAAACAACTGTCCTGATCACCAATCAATAAGCCACTGCAAGCCATAATGGAAAAGTCTGTCACGTTTGAACTCCTCTTGGCCCCAAGCCTCTTATGTTGTAGCATGGCATGGTTAAGAGAAAAGATCTCAAACTCCCGCTTCCCTCTCCCAGGATGGAAGTACAAGATGAAACTTATTTGCAGTATTATGATCTGTCTGTAAACTGTCTAGTAGAATGGCTTTTAGCTCAGATGACTTAGTTCTCAGATAGGAAATATCAGCCGAGTTTAGATCCAGGCTGGAAGCTGAAGAAGGCAGCTGCAGATGCTGCCATATGTCCACACTGAAGAAGACTATAAACGTGTGATTGACTATAGCAATGGGATTGTTGGCCAAAGAATATGGCAACACCTAAGAAGAAACTGGAGTAAAACTTTTGGGGACATGGTGGCTTATAAAGGAAATCAGGGTTTGGGTGGAAGATGGAAGAGATGATATATGTCCAGAAATTATAAGGGATTGTATATCTTCATCCTGCGATGATTTTCTAAGTTCAAACCCCCCATCAATTAGTGAAGGTCTTCCCTGACCAACTGCAGTGTTTTTAATGCTTAATGTTGAACCAAAAGCAGAGAGGCAGACACACACACACACACACACACACACACACACACACACGGTAACATGGGTTTAAGGAACATAATCCAGGGGAAGAAACTTGGCTAGCATGGGCTAGTCCCTGGGTTGGATCCTCATAACCACAAACCAAAAAAAGAGGGGAAAAGGTGGGGTTTGATTTGATGGAAAGGAAAAAGAGATAAGAAAGGATAATAGAAGGGCTTTTATCAATATGTGTGCTATATATTTCATATATGAAACTGAAAAGAATGGAAAAAATAGAAAAACTGTACACACACAACAGATTTATTAGGCAAAATAGACAATAAATGAACTTGAAATGATTATTTAAAGTTATCTACCTTAAGGGAAAAAATAAAAACTAATGAAGAAGTGTGAACAGGCCCTAAGAAACTTAGGGACATCATTAATCAGGCCAATATATTTATTCTTTGAAATTGAGGAGGCAGAGGAAGGGGAGGAAGAAAAGGAGAAGATGCTCTACCTCTAGATGAAGAGCTATAGGCAATTAATGCCAATTGAGAGAGGGAGAGCCAGTCTTCTCTAAAGATAAGACCCCCTCCCACCCCACCCATTGAGTTTTCTATCCAATCCCAAGTGGTCAGCACTAAACACATAGATACGTGTGTGTGTGTGTGTGTGTGTGTGTGTGTGTGTGTATTCCAAAATCTCAGAAATTCCCACTACAATATTACAGAGAGCCACATAGTGATATTTTATGAAATCAAATGCTTTAAAATACAAGAGAGAGATGTATATAAAGAAAAATGACACATCACTTTACAAAATACTGTCAGTGAAACTTCCAGGTAGACCCCCCAGAAAAAAAAAAAAAAAACCTGCATGTCAAAAGTTATAGTATGTTCAACTCATTGAAAGAAAAGACAACAATATGTATTGAGCTATTTCAGGGTACAGTGTTGTATGTTTGTATCACATGTTTACCTTTTCTGGAGAACACTATGTTTTATATAGCTTTAGGTTACTGTCTGACATCTTCATTTCAACTCAAAGAATTAACTGCACATTAAGTGTGATGGAATCAACTCCTTCAACTTTCCTTTGTCTTCATCACATCCCTTTCCCCCATGGCTCAGAAAAATCCCCGAGCAGAAGGCAGGAGGATAATTAGAGCCAGGGGCAGTTGCTATCTGCTGGAGGAGGGGGAGTCAGTTTTCTTCAGGTGTACCGTGCCCCCACCCCAGCTGGCTGCCCATGCACTAGTGGATGACCTGAAACCCATATATGGGCAGTATTAATTGAACAAACTCAGTGTTATTTAAAAACAACAACAACAACAACTGAGGAGAAGAAAGAGAGGAGAAGGAGGGGGATGACAAGATTGGAAAAGGGAAATAGTCGCATGGGTTGTGGGGAGCCCCAAAAGAAGTTGAAGTGGGGAATGCAAGTGTATACGCTAAAAAAATTAAATAGAATATATGTAGGAAATGATCAAAGGATAAATAAAAGTATATTTTTAAAGAGAAGTTTAAACAATTATACACAAATTGAATAACCTGGATGAAATACATGAATTCCCCGACATATATAATCCCTAAAAATATACCAAAACATAAAGAAAAATAAAATGCAAATATACCTGTATACTGGTAAGGATTCTGGATCAGTAATCAAGAACCTACCTCTCAATCAAGAAGAAACCAGGGCCATAGGCATCACTGATGAGTTTTATTTTGCTTTTCTTTTAGCTCTCTCTCTCTTTTTTTTATGGGTTCTGACTGTGTAGCACAGGTTTCTCTGGTCCTAGCCATAGTCCAAACTTATTTTCAGCTTACTCAGTAGCCCAGGGTATCCATGAATTCTCAATCTCCCTGTTTCTGTCTCCATAATTAGTGAAGATTATACTCTGTGTCTATTAATATTGAAAACAGAATTAACACCAATTGAAGTTCAGAAATACTTCTTACATTATTCCATGAGGCCAGCACTACCGAATCAGAGAACACCATAAATAGATGAACACAAGACCTAGCCACCAGCACCCAAGGAGGAAGAGGCAGGCAGATCTCTGTGAGTTTAAGGCCAGCCTGGTCTACATAGTGAGTTCCAGGTGAGCCAGGGCTACAAAGTGAGAGACAATGTCCAAAAACAAGCAAACAAAACACACTAAAAAATAATCCTTGAATCTAAAGAATTACACACCAAGAACAAATGGGACTAAATTCTGGGATGTAAAGAGTCTATATAAAAACCAATATAAGGTATATTCTGAAAATTAAGGAAACATTCACACAATTTCCATTTTATACAGAAAAAGCACTTGGCAGATTCAATAGACTTGAAGAATAAAAACATTCAACAAACTAGGCACATAGGAAAACTACCTCAACATAATAAGCCCATACATGAGAAGCCCATGGCCAACACCATACTCATCGGTGAAGACTGGGACCTTTTCCTCCAGATGCAGACCAAGACACAGTCCTTCACTGACTCTGCTCAGCACAGTTCCAATCCTGGCTAAAGTAATTAGACAAGAGAAAAAGTATACAGATGACAACCACTAAATCATGGCTACTGTATACACATGACCTTAAATATAGAAAATCACCAACAACAGACACACAACAGTCCCCTACAGTTTATGAACCAAATCAGAGAGCTTACATAACACAAAATTAGCAAAAATAAAATCAGTTATATTTCCATACTCAACCAATGAACAATTCCAAACAACATCAAAAAGAATGAAATAAGAATAAATTTAACTATGGTAGTAAAATACTACAAATTGATGTTAAAAGAAAGTAGGTACCAATAAAGAAATAAATTCTGGGTCCATTGTTGCTGCTAAATCAGTGCTGCCCAGAGATTTACAGGTACAATGCAATCCCTAACACAACCCCAGAGTTTTTGCTGAAACAGAAAAGGACATTCCAAAATTCATCTGAACTCCAATTGAACACCTAAGAGCCAAACAATTACAAAGGTAATAATACAGACCTCACACTTCTGACTTAAAAACTTACTACAAAGTCAGTTATCAAAGCCAAGCAATCGTGACATGACAAACTATCTGTAGACATGATTTTTAATATTTACTAGCTTTTTAAATTTTCTTCACAAAATAGATTTTAACCATATTCTTTTCCCTCCCCCAACTTTTCCTAGATCTTCCTCACTCCCCTACCCACCCAACTCTATGCTCTTTCTCTTACTCAATGAGGCCCTCTGCATGTTAACTGCTGTGTGGCTTGGTCCATTTGTAAGGCTCCCAGAAGTGAAATCAGGACCTTTCCCTGGCACTTAGCTGGCTTTTAGGAACCTGTTCCCCATGCTGGGTTACCTATCAGCCTTTACACAGGGAGAGGAGCTTGGTCCTACCTCAACTTGATGTGCCATGCTTTGTTTAAACCCATGGGAGGCCTGCCCCTTTCTGAATGGAGTCAGAGGAGGAGTGGATGGATGGGGTGGGAGTAGGAGGGGGCAGGAGGAGAGGACAGAGGGGAAACCATGGTCAGTATGTAAAATACATTTTAAAATGTTAATAACATTAAGTTTAAAAAAATCAAAACAAAAACAAAAATATCTAAATAAAACAAATAAAAAAGATAAAAACATAGAATGCATTTTGTGTTGTTCAACTATCCCTAAAATGATGCCCACCCTAGGGTATGGTTTATATACCCAGTGTCATTGGACAAAAACAATTTTCCCTCTCCTGACAATCCCAAATAGCTTCTTGGTTAGATGTGAACTCTGTATCCATTTCCCCTCTCATGGCTTGAACTTGTGGATGTCATGTGCATGCTACCAGTTTCTGAGGTCCTATGGACATCAGTCCTTTTGTGTGTGGAGTCACGTCTGTCTGATGTATAATTGATAAAGATATTTTCCCTAGTCTGTAAGCTGCTGCTTTGGTCAAATGATGTCCTTTGCTATACAGAAGATTTTAGTTTCATGAGGTCCCATTCATTAATTGTTGGTCTTATGGAACCCTATGATATGGGTCCCATTAGGAAAGTCCTTTCCTATGACAATGAGTTCAGCTGAATGCTCTCCATTCTCTTCTATCAGATTCAGGGTATCAGGTTTTATATTACAGTCTCTGATCCAGTTGGAGTTGAGTTGTGTGATGGTGATGTGGGCCAATTTGCAATCTTCTACCTGCAGCCATCCAATTTGACCAGCACCATTGTTGAAGATGCTATCTTTTCTCCAAGGTGTATTGTCCTTTGATTCTTTGCCAAAAAGCAGACATCCATAGTTATGTAGAATTATGTCTGGATCTTCAATGCTATTCCATTCAACATGTCTGTTTTCATGCCAACATCATGCTGTTTTTATTAATATAGCTCTGTAATACAACTTGAAATCTGGGATAGTGACACTTCCAACATTTATTATTTACAATTTTTTAGCTACCCTGGATGATTTTTGTATTTCCATATGAATTGTGTTAGAATTTTGATGAAGATTGCATTAATCTGTGGATTGCTTTTGATAGGATGGCCATTTTTACTGTATTAATCCTGCCAATCATAAACAGAAGATTTTTCCATCTTCAAGTATCTTCTCCAATTTGTCTCTTCAATGTCTTAAAATTTTTATTGCACAAGATTTAAGGCTATCATGAAAGACACTGTTTCCTCGATTTCTTTCTCAGTGTATTTTCTATGTGTATATAGGAAAGCTACTTATTTTCATTTTAGTTTTGTACCTAGCTACTTTACTGAAAGTATTTATCAACTGTAGAAGTTTCCTGATAGAGTTCTTAGTGTCTTTAACATATATAATCATATTGTTTGAAAACATGAATACCTTGACTTCTTCCTTTCTACTTGTATCCCTTAATCTCCTTCAGTTGTCTTATTGCTCTCGCTAAAATATCAAGTATATAAAGAGTGAACATCCTGTTAAACAGCTACAAGGTTAATGATTGTGAACAGATGAAATTTTGCAAACCAAGAGCCAAATTGTCTTAAGTTCCCTTAATATCCATCCACTGTCCACCTACATCAACATCCTTGGGACTATCATGTGAAGCCTTTGGGGAAGTATTCACTTCGATCGCTAGCTTCCACCAACCCCAACGTAAAGAATGCAGTCAGAGAGAACCGGTAGTCTGCCTAGCTGGTATTTTCACCATTGCCTTTGAAAAGTATCTTGATTTTTGGTTTTATTTGATTTTGCAAGTATACAACCTTCACAAAACTGTTACTGTGTGTTAAGATAATATTTGGAGCAATGTGAATCTATGTGGTGGGGGCTATACTAGTTCATATTTGTCTCCAAAATAAACTATCTCTTGTTTCCTTTGGGGAAAAAAAGAGTGGACATCCTTGTCTTCCTCCTGATTTTGATGGAGATGCTTTGAGTTTCTGTTTAGGATAATGTTGACCATGTACTTGCTGTACATGTCTTTATTATATTTAGATGCCTTTCTTATCTCCTTCACCTTTCCCATTTTTAGTAGCTGATAGAATTCCTGTTCTTGCACTATACCTGCTCTATCCTGAAGCCCACATTTCCTTCCTGGGTGATTCTGGGTATTCCTCAAAGAGACAGAACCTCTAAAAAGTGATTAGATGGTGAGAATGGAGCCCTCACGAGTAGATTAACGTCCTTATGAAAAATAGGATTTAGTTTTGGGAAAGAATGCTTACCTATATAGAGGAGACAACAGGGATGAGGTTAGAGGGATTGGTTGGTTGGCTGACTGACTGACTGACTGAACCTCAAGCTTTCAGAACTTTCCCAGATTTCTTGATGGTTTTAAGCCATTATAGTTCCCCTCAATGTTGTTTTCAGCCATCATATAACAGTTCCCCCTAACTGTTGTTTCTGTCACGACTAGTTTCCCCTTAGCTGCTGTTTTTAAGCCACCATATAGTAGTGGCCTTGTATTGCAGGTTTCAACTACCCATGACAAATGACAGTAAGAAAATATGAAATGGAAAATTCCATACAAACAATTTGTAAATTTTAAGTTGTGCATAAATGTAATGGGAGGAGTAATCTGATGAAAGCTGGCACTATTCTATCATGTTCAGCCTAATTGTAAGTCATTTCTTTGTCCAGGGTGTCCATGCTGTAAACAACCTGTCTGTCAGTCACTTACTGCCCACCTCAATTTCAGATGAGTTGCAGGACTTCACTGCTCAGGTTTGAGTAGCCCTGGCTATACTTTAAAATGGTCCTAAAGTATAAGATTAAAAATTCTGGTGACTTTATTACAGTATCTTGCTATAATTATTCTATTTTATGTTGTTATTATCCTTAATGTCTTACTGTGTCTGATCCATTTAACTTCAATTTATGTGTCCATGAATAGGAACATGTCCTATATGTAGGGTTTACTATCTGTGGTCTCAGGCACCCATTAAGGATCTTGGAATATATCTCCTCTGATAAGGAAGATTATTATTTATTTAATGATGATTAACTGTATATCTGAAATGGTCAGCTTTTGTTACATACATTTTACACAATAAAAAAGCCAAGTGAAATAAGTGTGCTGTATCCATGAACAAGCTTGGTTATACTTTTCCCATGCCTCAGAAGGCATTCCCAGAACATCTTTCCCTGCTATTCCCATCATAAAATGTACTGGACCATTTCAGGAATGCCATGTTCTCTGGGGAAACCTAGGCTAAGAACTTCCAAGATTCCTGCTTCTTTCTTATTTAGCAAAGCCTGGTTTAATAAGTAAAAAGCACTTGGTTACATCTGATTTACAATGAAGATTTTCTATAAATAGGCAGTAGTTTGTAAACATAAATGTGACTCAAGTGATATAATGGTACATTTAAATAAAAGTTTTTCCTTGTTTATCTGGCTTTCAAACCCTTCTCAATATCCAGTTTCATCTAGCTGTTCATTTTGACTTATGTTGCTATGAATGTTCCAAATCATTAACCCAACCGTGATTTTTTTTTTTTTTTTTTTTTTTTTTTGGTCAGCACACCGGTTTTTTTACTGCTGTACTAATTTCCGGACATCATTCTTTGTGGTTTTACGTAGCAACAGGGTTAATTAAACCCATTCCTGTTTGTTATTGCTTGTAATTGTTACATAAAATATTAAGATGCTTTCTCCCTAAGTTTCATTTCAGTAGATTTGTTTTGAATAGTCAGTGTGAATTGCACAGCACCTTTTGGTAGCATTGGGCAGTACTTTAAAAAAACATCAGTTAGAGCTTTATACTTAGGCAACACTCTCCATCTCCTGGGTCTGCCCATGTGTGCCATGCTGTGTGGCACTGTGTGGTTGGGACTCTGACAGATGCATGTTTCGATTCCCAAGGCATTCTAACTACTCATGCCCAGTTGTAGCTCTGGCTGCACAAACTAATGTGGGTCTTCATGCCCATCTGCTGCTTCAGCACTAGCTGAGACCACACTAGGATGCAAATCTGAAAATGTAAGTATTGGAGTCCCTCCTGGTCTGTAGATGTAGAATGCATCATTGTGTTGAGAAGAACTTCAGGACTCTCATCTGAGGGGTTACCAGGGATTACCTACTACTCAGAAGCAGGAAGGAAAGGATCAAGAAGCCTTTTTTTCTTGTACCTGGAGTGGCACCACCTTGGACATCAGGTGGTCAAAGTAAAGGTCCACTGCTTTAGTGAAGCCATGATAAGTTGTTCTCAGCTTCATGTTGGGGTCTTGAAGGAGCCAGCTTGGAGAAGGAAAGAAAAGGAGTGTTAGTGCCAAAGTCCGTGGGTTTCCCTCAGGCAGGCTGATGAGCAGGGCGAAGGAAGCATCTGCATACAGCTCCAGACTAAGTATGGAGAACAGGTCAGGCCAGGGTTAATCACCACCTCACCACCTCCAACTAGCTAGGAAGTCAAGAAGCTATGCGCACAGGCCAGAGGCAAGCACACCACCAAGCCAGCCTACACACCCAATGCCTTGGGAAGTTAGAGTTCAATTTCAGAGCTACAGGAGTGCTCACTGTCCACTGGAATAAAAAAAGCAAGGCCTGGTTTTACACTAGAGAACCAAAACAGGCAAGATAGAGCACTCCTGGAATCCCAGCACTTAGCTGAAGCAGGGGAATCACATGCTTTAAACCAGCCTTAGTTAAACAGTGAGCTTGCTGGCCTACATAGTAAGACTCTGTCCAAAGGCAGGGGGCAAAAACAATGCCAAGAGGATCATAAATCCAGAATGCCCCAGAAAAACTAACCTGACTGAGTTGTAACATGCTGACTGAGGGACTCATGAGCCTGAGCCCTGCAGTGTGTCACCAGGGCTGCAGCAAGGAGCTAAGATGACATCGTCCCTTCACCTGCTGTGGTCACACATCCCATCAGAAACTCAACACCAGGGGCTATTTCCAAGGGTAAAGTCAAAGTACTTCCCATTCAAATGAAGTCCTGATTAACTGGAGACTTCAGTCTCCCTTCCCCTAACTCAGAAACTGAAAAGGGACAGAAATGTTGTCAGGGAATGTCAGTTGGTAATGAAAGGCTGGAGGGAGTGTCTCCTCTAGCCTGACCTACATGTACCCATCCATCAAACAGGCCTAGTTCCTCACAGCTCTAACACCCTATTCTCCTGGGAAACCCCCATGAATAGACAGAAGCCCCCAACCACAGCAAGGGAGGGCAGATCTGAGAGTGACAGTCCCCACTGTTTCTAATTTAAGACTGTTAAACCCTGCTGTCCTCCCATGCCCAGCTCCAGCTGAGCCCAAGGAAAATGCTGACAGTGGCACAGGTGTCTAATCCCCAAAGAGGGGCAAGCAGCTCTGTCCCTGCTCACAGCTGTCTGGGACACTGTGCCAGATCAGACTGATGCTGGCTGCTGGAGAGGAGACAAACTGCCTGATGCTGTCCTGGGCACAGCACTTGCATTGTGAAGATAGAGTTCCTTATGCCCCTATGCCCCTTCCAGATAAAGAGGTTCAGCCTTCTTTCCTTTGGAGACAGCACAGGTGGGTGGAGGCTATGACTAGCCACCAGTGGTTGACGCTGTGAAGCCAAAGATGCTAACACCAGTTGATGGAAAATGAAGGCAGTCTTGCTGAGGAAAAGGAATGGATGTGGGCCCACGTGATAGATACCCATCCAGACACCACTCCCAGAGCATAATGCTTAGCACACTGACCTTAGTGGAAACTGCACTTAGAAGAACAGGCCCAGGAGAATTGAGGACAGAAACCGCAACACTGACTCCTCTATACTACGGCAATACTTGGGTTTTAATAAATCAACAGTAATATCTCTAAGAAACAGACAGGGCAGGTTTGGTTTGCCTCATTTTGCAGTAAGGGCCAGATCAGATAAGTAGCCTGCCTGGGTGCCACTCCAGAATGACCAAATGATCAGAAGAACGAAAGGCCTCCAAATAGATAAGCAGTTCACTGCTGCCACCTGACACATGGAAAGACCCAAGGGTACCAGACAAGGGCAATACTGCAGCATTCTTCCATGTCAGCAACATCTCCTCCAGAAAAGAAATGTTGCACACAATGAAAACTATCTTTAAAAACAAAACTAAATCCATATGCCTCATGAATGGGCATCCAGACCCCTCTGGCAACTCCGGAGTCCTGCACTGCCCTTTCTCACCTGGGCAAGCCCCCAAGATCAATCTCACTGCAGATGTAGGGTCCTGGTCGCAGAATCACCCACAGCCCAATCTTCGCAGCCTGCTGGATAAAGGCCCTACAGACAGAAAGAAAGTCAGCCCTGAGGATCCAAAATAATGGCTAGATATGGGAGGAGCCACAGACACATAGGGTATCAAACCTCTCGTGTTCCTCCCCTGACCCTTCTCTCTCAACCAGGTAACATGGAGTGAGGAAGGCTTGGCCTGGGCTCAACACAGCAGGGGATTCCTGCACCAGGTGGGAGCTCAGAAGCCCTGGGTGCTGGGTATGCAATGGCTCCTTGCATCAGGGCTATCCAATCCACACAGACCCACTGAGATTTGTCAGACAGGGTACAGGATTTTGTCCCCAACAACAGTCTTGTTAACCCAGAAGCAATCCCAATTCCATCCCAAGCATATAAATCTAACAGAGTCTAGTGGGATCTGGGATCCTGGCCCACTGGACTGTAGTTAAACGGAGGATTGAGCCTATAAGCTTAGTCCCCTGGGTAACAATTCACAAGTGGGGAGTACTAGGCCTTAAGTCCAGAACCTTTTTAAGCATGTTAAGAACAAGGCTCCAGACAAACTTTTCAGTTTCTCAAAGCAGAGCCTAAGCACAACATCCTGAGTGTTCTTCATCAACCCCAAGTAACTTCCAACCCCAGACCAGGCACAGAAGCACCAAGACCACATACACCAGGTCCAGGTTTCCAGAGAAGTCGAATTTGCCTCTTTCTGGCTCATGGAGGTTCCACGGCACATAGCTGTAAGATAAAAGATAATTCACATAAACATTTGTATTTCTGACACCCATTATGGTGGCTAAAGAGAAGCTTTTCAATAACTTCAAACCTCAGAGACCATAAAGAATTCAAGGCAAGTCCTAGGAAGAATATCACATCTCCTTAGGAGGACAGAAAGTCAACTAGACTTAGGTGACATATGAACTCCACAGGGTAAAAGACCAGACTCTGTAACCCCAGGTTAGCACACACTGCAGTATTCTCATGACCTTTAGGAATCCTCTAAGAGGTCATGCATGTTACTTTCAACAGTGCAGTGGTTGTCCTTTTTATGACTGTCTTCAAAGCTACTTCACAAACCATTTGAGGCCGTCTACTTCCTTCATTTGTGATCACATCTTTTATACCTGATAATGGAGCATTTCAACCTGATAATCCTCTTTATTTCATAGACATGGCACCAAATAAATATTAGCAACTTTGAAAACAAAGCCATGAAAAGTTCAAGATTATTCCTAACTGGGCCCATTTTATTTATTTTTATTATTTTTAATTAGACTGGGGTATGTGGCTATGAGTGCCGGTTCCCACAGAGACCAAAGGTACCTGGGGAGCTAGAATGGCAAGCAGGTTGTGAGGCGCCTGATATGAATGCTGAGAACCAAACCCACCACTCAGCCACCACCTCCAGCCTCTAAGCCTACTTTTTTCTAGGTGATTTGCATAGCCTACATTTCACCTTGTGCCTGCCATGAAACATTTAGGGATGACAGTCACCACAATCCAAAGTTCTTTCCAGAAAATAGTTGCTGAATTGATGACAAGCCACCGCCCTAAAATTTGGGAAGCAGAAGTAGCTTGTGAGAAAAAGTGACTTGTCAATCTGGACCAAGTGGTGTACACCTGCAATCCCAGCATTCAAGGCTCTATTGGAGAAGGATGGAGAGTTTGAAGCCAGCCTGGGCTGCACAGTTGAGAACCTTTATCAAAACAGAAAATCACTGTAGTATGTCTTTATAACAACAACAACAAAGAGAAGACACTATTAATGCACAACTACAATGGAAAAGTCACTTGAGGACACGAAGGAGATGACAGGTCTCTGCTAGCTATGGAGGACCCAGGAGAAAACTAAGCTTGTAGACAACTTGGCCATGAGTGCAGCTTGGCCATGAGTGGAGTAAGTTAATTTATTCAAGCCACAAAAATGAATAAGCAAACCACCTCTCATATCAATGCTCAATTCCTCTCCTCTCCCTGCCCCCTTCTCCCTACTTGGTTGCATCTCCTCTACCTCATCTGTAGGGAGTTCTATAGAGCTTGAAAACCTAAGCAAGCAGCTTGGGCTGCTTCCTCTCATAGCTTTCTTCCTGCAAGGCAAGCACCAGGGGCCCCAACTTGACAGCTAAGCTTGGTGGAGGGCTGGGAAGGCAGCACTTACGTGGTAAGAGTATTCAAGCCACAGGCTTTCATTTTGAGCAGGCGGTCCCTCCAGTATTCCTTGGGCACACGGAAATAGTGTACTGATCCCCCAAAAATCTGAAAGGTGGAGTCCTCCAACATGAAGTTTGGGCCTTTCGTTCGAAGTCCCAGGCGCTGAGGCTGGAGCCATAGAGGAAGCCGAGTGCTCCAGTTCAACCTGCAGAAGCAAAGACCCTCATGCAGCCTTGGCGCTCTCACGGCAGTGAGTGTGGGTACACAGATGCACACTGCATCCTTCTCTCCGTCACAAGTCCTCTGCTTCCTCTTTTTCACCTGCTCCCAGGGTGGCCAGGCAAAGCTCCCACCATCCCACTTAGCCAAACCTTGGCAGGTGACTTTCTTCAGCACTACTTCCTGGGCTGAGGCCCACTGCAGGGGAAGGGCAAGCAGATGCTGCAACCAGGAACAAGACAGACACAACCTTCAACATGAAGACACGTGGGCTAAAAAGGAGAGAGGATGAGGAAGGGTCATGCTACGTGGGGAATTGCTCTCTAGTGTCCCAGACAGGGACAGCTGCGGCTCACAGGCTCCCTACTACTGCAGTTGTTCTAAGCCATCAGACTAGACATTAAAGCAATAGCTACCAAAACAGTACCTCGGAGCTCCCTCATAGTCACAGCCGCCCACCTTGGGGTTCAGATACCTAGAAAGAGGCATTTTGGTTAAAAAGCATCCAATCACTGACCAGATATGAAGTTACTAATTATCTTCTGATAATCTAGCATCAACCCACAGTTAACACAGAATGCCAAGGGCCCACCCAGGCCATTGGGAAGCTACAGTCCATAAAAAAGCTCCTTGTTGATGTCTCAGTGGTTGGCTGGCCAAGGGGAGCCCTTAAACTGACTGACACAACTAGAAATCTCTCTTTATCCAGACTCTTAAAGGTCACTAGGAAAAGTCAACAAGAACTGGTTTAGGAAAGTTGGAGACAGAAAATAAGACCATAAGAATCTTTGGTACAGAAGCAATTTTTAGTTGAGCTTTTTTCATTATAGATCCTACAACAAGAGGACATACTGCCAGACAGACTCCTGTGCATAAAACTGTCACCTGAGTACCAAGTACTATGGCCCTGATGGCCCCAGAATAGGCAGTTTACTAAGAGTGCAGACATGGGCATCACTGTCTACTTGCGGATTCTCTGGGACCATTCATGGACAATAAAAATTACTTTTAATCTGCTCCTTTTGGCTTCTCACACCCCAGGCTTCCAAGCCTGACAGTAAACATGTCATAAGAGCGTGCTGCAGGTGGCAATGAGCTTGGCCCACCACAAATAGAGCACTGATGGGTGAATCTCGGATAGGCAAAGCCCCACAGGCTTCAGCTCCAGAATGTTCCTTGCTACTGCTGTGCCTTTACATGTTTGCTGCTGATACTTTTCTCTGGTTATCTGGCATGGTGTGAATAGGTGTAGGGGGATCCCCACTGCCTTTAAGATAGTATGATTATCTCATGGAAATATCCTGTTCTACTGGGCATTTTTACCTATGGGTTATCATGAAGATGATTTCCTTTTACGGTGTACTGTTTAACTAAGGCAATGATTTTATACAATAGTGTCAGCTGAAATAGAATTTTGATGATTAAGGGGCTTTAATAATTTAGTGATTGTGATAAAGGTTAGTTTAGTGGGAAAATTAATATAGGTAAAGGCAGGATATGGTGTTGTCCCTGCCCCTGATAAAGCAGGGGCTGCAGAGGATAGAAAATAAGAACAAGGAGGTGGCACACAGCTAGGACTTTTTTGAGTTTCTCTTGAGGAGCCATATAGACTGTGGCTTAGGTTAATGATTAAGAATAACAATTATGTCCCAGAAGCTAGACTAGCTCAAGTTCTTTTAATCTTAATGCTGGGAGATGTGTTCATGGGTTTGGGTGTAATTATAACAAAGCTGTAAATAAATAATGACTTAAGGTCAGGTTAAGATGCTCATTTTTGTTAACGGTTTTGAGGTAGAAAATCTTGGGGAAACAATTTAAAGTTTAGAAAGGCACATAACTGAGTGAGGACTCACTGAGGTCAAGAAACAAAACCAAGAACAGCCTGGTTACTATTAGCTGATGTGCCTTACTTGCTAGAATGGGTTGGTGATCAAAGGTGATGATTAATTACTTGTACCCATTTCTGCCCTCAGCTTCCTGATATAAAAAAAAAAAAAAAATGTTGATGAATGGGTACGTACCCTGAGGACTGAAAGTAGAGCTGACTGCTTTTCATATATAAAAGTTTAGATTCATGATTCTTTTCAGATTTTCATAGGACAAATAATGAAGTAATTATTGATCATTTCCTTTTAAGTACAAAATGCAGCCTGCCAATAAAAGAACTGGCTGAGGAAAATACCTTGCTTGCTTACACTCTGTTAATCTATAACAAGTTGCTTGAATATGAATGTATATGGGTTCCTGGGAATAACTTGTTTCTCACTTGTGATACATAAAACGTTTAATCATGTAAGGGAAATGAGAAATATGACATTTTTAACTTGTATTCATTGTAATCATTCACTTGAAAAATAGAATGCAACCACATTCTAATTTTTATATTGCCTGAAAGATTTTGTTGGAATATGTAAGCCACAAGGGAAAAAAATAAGGACAAAAGGGATACATCTGGATACAGATTTTAAAAAAAGAAAGAAAATAATAAGAAGACAGAGAGACCCTAAGGTATATGTGTGTTCCCTTTTTCACCAGCCCCAGAGTTAAATTTTGCCGCCATCACCAGCCCCAGAGAATTAAGTTTTACTCCCTCAGGCAGAAAGAAAAGTCAAATTGAACAATTAGTTTGTCAACTTTGTGGATCCCAGTCAATCCAAACTGCTGAATGCTGGTCCTTACAACAGCAATACAAACCCATTCGGGACTCCACTTCTGTTTAGTCATCCCAGATAACCTGTGACCTAGTCTCTCTTTCTCTCTGCAGAAAAGCTTCGTGTTCCAGCAAATAGCTAGCAAATGACATATGAGGACTTGGCCATCATCTTGTGGGGATGAAAATAAAAACAGCATTTGGAAGATTTAGATGTGAGTTCCTGGGAATACTATCACTCTAAATTAATGACTCCAGTTATATGGGTAAGTTTCCTGTGTGGAATGAGGCTGATCCCTTTCTCTATCATTCAAAAAGGACTTTGAGAGGGTTAGGTAGAAATGAAATACTCTGTGGAGTGCAATGAAGGAGTCTTATCATTTGAAAGTGAGTGGCGCAAAGAACAGTCTAGTGCATTTAATGACATTAATATGAAATAATCCCATGGCCATTCCCCTAATTTGGTAGAAATGCTAAACTTTGAGTCAGGCTATCTTATTACACTGCCAAAACTTTTGCACTGAAGGATCTATACCCACCAATCCAATCCCTCTGCCAGCAGGTAATTTACTCCAACCAAGGGCCAAACCCTGCCTACCACCTGTCTGTCTATGCAAGGCCTGCAAGATAAAAGTGAGTTTTGTATTTGTAGATAGTTGGAAAAGAATCAAAACAAAAATATTAAAAGAATGGCATGACATAAAAGTCACATTTCAGTGTTCATAAATAATTTTACTGACATACTGCCACATCCACCTTCTATAGATGGATGGCTGCTTCGGAGAACAGGTAAGTAGCTTTTGTGGAGACTGGGTTGCTCACACTACTAATAACAGTTAAGATCTAACCCTTGCCAGAAACCCCTGAAATCTCTAGCCTAGTAGAGGAGCCCTAAGTTATTCAAATGAAGCCCCCCTCATCCCCCCACCACCCCCAAATTCCCACTCCTCCTGGCAGCAATTCCTTTCCTCTCAGCAGGGTCCTTTCTAAGGCTGTGGCTCTGAACAGTTGGTTAGGCTGTTTTTCACTTGTGCATCCCCCTTGGTTTGAGGATACTTCCTCTGAAGAATGTGTTCTGCTTTACTTGTCAGCTCACCTATCCCCAACACACACACACACACACACACACACACACACACACACACACCTGTTAGACTTGCCAGGCTACTATGAGTAATGACTGGAAGGAGAAATTCTTTTCTTTTGTCTTTAAAAGTCTTAAAAGGGGACACAGTCTGGTTATGGAAATATACATACACATAATCTCATTAGTTTTAAAGACATTTATAATACACAACAGTTCACATCGTTCGTTCTAACTTCTGACTTTCCTCAGTGAGCACCTATAAATTTCTGTTTATGGGTGGAAGCAAGTCCTCCTTCTGCTAAGCACAGAGAAAGACAGGGCCAGCTGGAGGCAGGCTCAGTGACTGTCATTGTTGCAAATAACCAAAGTTCTTATCTGTGCCCCAGTTGGTGACCAATGCAGGTTGACTTCTCTGAGTGTGGTCTACAGAAAGAAGCGTATTTCCATCTGAAACTTGTTGGAAATGCAGAAGTCTGAGAGACCTACTGAACCAAAACCTGCCCTTTAACCAGATTCCCAAGGTTAAAGACAAGGGCCATCCGTCTGTAATTTCTCCTTTAATATTTGTACAGCCTCCCCCCCCCACATACACACTCATCTTTCCTATGATGAAATGAAACAAGAAATCAGTAAAAGAAGTAAAACTGTAAAATCACAAACATGTAATAACTGAACAACACTCTTAACCAACAAATGAGTCAAAAAAAAAAAAAAAAAAAAAAACTCAGAAAATTGCTTTGAGATTTAAAACAACAGCACAGAAAATATACAGCTCCATTCCAAATATTCATGAGCTCCAGACTCCCATGAGCCAATTAATGACTTAATATCTTTACTGCAATGTATAGCAAGCAGATCAGTTTACCCCACCCACCCCCATACTTGGATATATCTCTTTCTTTCCTCCACCACCAAATCCCAACTTCAGTTGTTCAGGACCAGATCCTGGAGCCATCCTTGACTCCTCTTTCTCTTCCTTTGTCTTTTTATGTTCTATCATATTCTAGATTAAAAAAAAAAAAAAAAAGACTCTCACTGCTTGTCAAGAGAGGAAATCACTGCAAACAAGCAAACAGCTGTTGTCAATTTTTGAATTTTGTAAAGTTTTCTTTCTTTCTTTTTTTTTTTTTTTTTTTTTTTTTTTTTCTGCTTTCTGGAAATGTTCTGCTAGCCTACTAAACCAAACATCAAAACTTCAATAAAAGAGTTGAATTCGGTGAGAGAACAAAGATGGTAAACGTTGGGTTTCTCCAGAGACTTCATTGTGAGAAAAATGAGATGAGGCAAGTCAGATCTTCGTGTACCAAACTCCAGGACAAAACTCTCTGCAAATAGTTATTAGCACTAATCATGATCATTAATGCTCATGATCATCATATTAAGAATAACCCCATAATTTCCCGAGCAATTAACTCAGTAATATTAGAATACAGGAAATGCCAACCGTGTGGTTCTGACTGCTACTTTAAAGGTCAGGGGGCCTTTACTCCTAAGTTAAGCGTGTTACCAAGGAGCTAACCAAACCCTGGGGAACCCAGTGTGTTTTGTTGTTTTCCTTGGTGAGGAGTTCATTCATGACCACTTTGTCCTGGATGAAACCGGAGGCACCTGCCTTCTTTGAGGCTAAAGTTTATATTACCACTTTCTTCTAGAACCTCTACCTCTGTTGCTTTTGTATCTTCACTTCGTTTTAAGGAAGCAATTTGGCCAGAAGGGCTTGGCCCTGC